TAAGATGCCGTTACAGTGGAGCTGCAAGCTAGAGGTGTTGTTACACTACAGCTTGCTTTTAGCGGAAAGTGTCGTTACAGAGCATACAATTAGCTGCTGTGGATGCTATTTTAGCATTATACAGTGACGGATGTCGTTACAGTGTGTGTCGGTTTCGTGCCTTTATAATGCAGCGCTTCTAAGATACACCAGTAAAGCAAGACGTGTCTATCAAGTTTCATAACGTTTGTGATGTAAGTTCTGATGGATGGTGCAAACAATAGGTATGTCTGAGGCCGACACGGGCGACACCGGTGGATGAACTCGGCCTGTCGACAGTTGTGGCTAATATTTGACATAGTTGAAAGGATTCAGGCGCGACTTGTGATTTGTATCACATCTAAATCGATTCCACGTCACTATGTGTTGGCATCTTAAAAAGTGTTTTATTTAACTACATAGTTGCGACAGTTAGATAAAGGGCACGTATGAAGCAATAGGTATTCTGCAATATCCACTCAGTTTCGATTCTCTAAATCTTTACTGTCATGATAAGGTCCGTTTAACGTTTTATAGTTACAATTGTTAGAGGCGATAACCGATTGAAATAGGTTTTGCAATGCTGGTTTTTTGTTCAATGGCAGAGTGAATTTGTTATGGGTCTTAACCCGCGCCCCGTAGGGCTATCGGCGGACCCTACCACCCGTAGGGGAGTGGCCGTTTCGCCCCCCCCCCCTAAGATCTCGGAAATTTACCGGCCGATTTTCAAAATTCAAACGGTGTTCGATAGCCCCACCGGGGAACTACCTTGTGACCAAATTTCATTGACCTAGGTCAAACCGATGACATCACAGGTCAGGTCAAAGGTCGGATTTTCACCGTTCACAGGCATTTCAAGAAATGTGTTGTGAAATCGAGTAAATTGGTAATTTATTGAAAACCATCGATAGTACATTGTTCGCCAAACACATACTTTACTATCTGAGGTCACTGATACCAGGTCAGGTCACAGCGAGGTCAGGTCACCGGGGGTCACAATATGAAAGTGTCGTGTGACGTGATACATGTGATACATGGTCCATTTTACATGACAAATGCGATTATGTGGGTTAGGCAGCCTTTGGGCTTTGGGGCCAGCCTGGGTCACATTTTGGTGAAGGTCAAGTCAAGGTCAGGTCAAATTAGGTCAAATTTCACAGTTGATATTTTTTGCATAAAATGGGTATCGATTCGATGCAACTCGTCACGGGGGAGCCTAATGGTGGTCTTTATTCTGCTTTAAGAGGTCTAGAATCGCTAAAAATTGAGTTCAAAAATTTGACGTCATCATTTTTGAACAGTTTTTTCGCTATAACTTGGCCAAAAAAGGAGGTATCGATCTGAAATTTGGTATGTAGATAGAAGAGGGTATAGGTACTATCACATATGTTCCGGTTTTTTCGAAACTCAATTTTTTTTTTTTATTTTTTGGCTAATATATCCAAAAAATGCTTTTTTGATTTTTGGGGGTCAAAACTCAAAAATATCAAAAATCCGAGATAGCAGCTTTGTAGCCCTGTCAATTCTACACCTTTTATGTGTTGATCATTTTTCTGTATCTTCAAAGCTGTAGGCCTGACAGGCCTTCTCGCGAAGGTCTTTTTTCGGTCGAAAATGGCAGAACATGACGTCATCCTGACGTCATTTGTGGCCAACCTATCATAGCCTCTGGAACAATTTTTGGTCACAATGTGTAAAATTGATGCCCGGATGGGTCCTGAAAGTTTGGTGGCGATATCTCCAGCCGTTTAGGAGATATCGATGGAAAAGGACAGGGAGGGGCCGTTTCGCCCCCCCCCCCTACGGGGCGCGGATTTTAATGTGTTCGCTGTTATCATACCACCGCGCTATGCACTTCTGTGCGTTGTCTGAGACTGTATAAACGGTTTTGTCCTTGTCTGTCGCTTAATTGTTTTTCATATGCCGTGAGCTGATTTGTATAAAAAGGACGTAAAATAATAGTTTTTATCGTGTCCTTGTTTTAGTGTTTTACGTACTTATGCCGTGAGCTAATTTGCATAAAAATGTCGCAAAATAATCTTTAAATAACTTAGAATTGTGTGTTAACTTGAGCCCCGCCCCATAATCGGTAGGACGACGCATTGGGTGCACGTAAAGCACCTGTGCCTACACACATTGTAGGTCCTAAGCTTCGCGTAGGTATATCCAAAACCTCTTAATTTTCTGCACCGCCTTACGGTTTAAAGGGACCCTCCCACCTTAACATTAGATTTGAGTTGAGATAGCCAAAATGGGGTCCCTGGCTCACAATTACCGGTTTCGGCACTCACAACATCGAGAAATGCCTTAAATCGGAAATATTGAATTTCAAAATTGCAGCATTTTGATTCAGAGGGGCTAATGCTTAGGAATACCCCTCTGAATGTGTGACGTCAGCGCAAATATCTAACGATTTTTTAATGTTTGACTAAAACGTTTTGTAGCACGCGGTGGTATATGCTATTTGCGCGCAACATCTGCCGCAAACGCCGCACTTCTAAAATAAAGTCGCTAGAAACAGCGGATATCCCAAAAAAGTAAACAAAAGTAAAAGTCTAATATCTTGAAAACCGGTGAATATTTTTCGGTGAAATTTGGTAGATATTCGTTTTCGCTCTTTCTGAACCGAGCGACATCACTTTCATGCCAATTCATCAACTTTTTTGAAGGTGGGAGGGTCCCTTTAAGTGATTCGACTGACCACGGACTAGTTCACCACTTATATACTTAACTCTGGTATGCTACCCCGCAAACATTCCAAAGCAGTCGGCCCATTTGTCAAATATCCAGATGGGCCACTTCACTCAACCCGAAGCATTCTTGTCCATAGCCACATTGGAGATGTCACGCTGCACGCTCTCGGTGTCGCTCGGTACTAGAGATTGCAATCCCGGAACGTTTTGCCAATCCCGGGATCCCGAAAGTTTTTATTTCGGGATCCCGGGATCCCGGGATCCCGGCCTTGTCACTAAATGTCGTAAGAGTGATTTCCTACTGACATATTTTGCGTCTTTAAGCTTACCACAAACAAAGAGGCAACCAAAAGCCATCCTTAGACCATTATTAGGTGTTGTTTGTGTTGCCGAAAAACATCATCTCACATCCTTAGACCATGTCATTTGCATTAAAAACGATTGAATTTGCGAATAAAACGTTTCGATTTGATTGGCATTAGCATTTATTCCCAATTGGCCTTCATAAAACTGTGCGTCGACCAGATCGTTTACTAGACAGGTTCCAGCACATCCACGCCTCACTCACTCTTCGTCTACGCTACTCGTAGTTAGCGCGACAGTTTTAAGCCATTGCCATGTTGGTCTACTTAAAAGCTCGCAACCAGTGTACGCCAACTTTGGCAGCTCCCTATTTCACAGTGTTTTCAAAACGTCGCTTGGTCACTTTACCTCCTTCCGGTTCCGCTTTCATCATAAATGTCTCTCAGAATTTGCTCGAAAGTCGCTTTGAGAGCAGAATCACTGACTGGGAGAGCTCCACTCTACCGTATTCAACGTCTGAATCAGTGAGCTCTGCCGTCACTTGCGTGACATCTGTGACATCTTTCTGCGACACGAGCTCAAAGACTGTCTTGATGACCTCCTTTGTTCCGGCCACGGACGGGCAAGTCAGAATCGCTGAACGATCTGTGATCCTGATAAAGATGTTGCAGCGCTGATGCTGCATTTTTTTGGCTTTCGGGACCTTTTTTTCGTACGTATTTAAGCGGCTTAACCGCTGTGGGTGATACCCGAGAGCTACCAACACGGGTCGATTGTGGACGGCCAATACGGGGTGCCAGCTAAATAGTTTATCTGCTTTATGTCACGCAGCACAATAAACAGTGTAAACAAGACTCGTGCAGCGGCTGCATTCTTTTTAAGGTGAAAACTGATTCTTTTCGGGATCCCGGGATTGGCGGAATTTCGGGATCGGGATCGGGATTAAAATCCCGCCGGGATCCCGGGATCCCGATCCCGGGATTGCAATCTCTACTCGGTACGGAGCGGTTATTGTAACCGCTGCACGGCCGGCCCGCTGGCGCTGACAGCCCCCATCCCCCCTCAGCGGCAGGCAGGGGCTCAGTTCGGTGGGAGTGCATCTGACCCAGCGCAGACCTCGGATTGTCGGGCTGAGTGGCATCGCGGGAACGCAACAGAGCACAAAGTTCATGTTCGTCTTCCAAGGGCCCGTGACCGTCTAAGCATATCCGTTTACCTACCTACCTACCACGCCTACCGTATCTTCAAGTTAGATAAATAGCTAACCTGGCAAAGAGGCTGAGCTGTTCCAAATTGCATCTGATGTGACTGCATCTAATTTCAGCTGATCAGGCGATATCTTCCTGCCAACAGGAGTCCAGGACTCACCGAGTCACGAGTTTGATTGTTTGTTTGTTTTGTTGGGTTAGGCCCTTTCGGTCGACAAGACCATTGCAGAGCCGGAAGGATGATAGGAATTAGGGGGAGACATTGGTCTGGGCAGGCACCCTAGTGAGTCGCCGGGGCTGAGCCCGTCCAGAGGACAGGCCACCCAGCCCCAAGGCACTCACTGCACCCGGCTACGGGGTGCGCTCCCTCAGGAGCAGCGGTGCCGCTCCAAGGGAGCAGCCCGCATGAGATAAAGTTGCCTGTCCAGCCCGGAGGGGGGTTGCGGCGTGGAGGAGAAGGATTTCTGTTTCCTGAGGATAGAAGCACGGATAGGTCGGGACGAGTTTGATGCCAGTTGTGCGTGCAGTTACGCACAGCACAAGTCAGTGTTTACATCCCGTGGCCCGGGTGGGCTGTGGGTATCCTTACCTACACAGTCGCGCATAAAGATTACGATATACCGACTGATGCATATACACAGCCTGCCTCGAAGGCTTATCAGGAATCAGGATCGGAAAGAGTGAAGACCCGTGAAGACCCTGGATCCCCGGCGCATACCTACGCTGCCTTTTGGTGACATATAGCGACATCTGTGTCGAGTATGTGAACCGTAGGTTGTCAAACTCTCCGCGAGAGTATCTCACCATCGTGATCTTGAGCGCATAAGAGCAAAGAAAATTATTGGCGTTTTTCAATGTCTTAGGGATGTGTCAGCGAAGAAACGATTTTTTGCTTTACACTTTCCAACTCTTGCAACGCCGGCGTGTTCAATAAGTAGCCGGTGATGGGCCGCTGCCTGTCGATTTGGTGTGATTTAGGGAAAAGTCTTCATATTCTCACTTGTTTCCCAAGATTTAGAGACATTTTCTCGTATGACAAAAATATTTTGTGAGCGGAAATCAAGCAACAGCTGACTGCGATTGCCGCAGTTGCGGCCATGATTGCGGAGGGAGGTGTCGGTTGTTTTCGTTTAGGAAGGATAAATGATTATTTGACGTAGTAGGAGTCTGATTCAAGATGTCAAGATGTAAAATTTCTACAAAGTTTATCCCGGCTACATGCGCCTGGTCAATGCTGCTAGGATGTACCGGAATATATTTTTATTACCCGTAAGTGACTCTCGTCTGTACCGCGTCATAATTGCATTGTTTGGGTATATTGTGTTTAGATAATTCTAATTTTTGCATTTAGACGGCTTAAATGTAACGTAAGGATTCAGTTATATCTTGCATATCAAAGCAGGCTAGCCTGCCCTCTAATAATATCAACTGGACCAATACCTAGTCGTGCGACACCTGAACATGAAGTATTGTCATCTTAAATGGATTGCTTTTTTATTCAACTTTGACAGGATCAGCTTGCCAACTCAATCTAAATTGTTGAAAAATAAGGGCATGCTTACTGATTAGAGTGTGGAAAATAGTTATTCTTTTTTGTCATTCCGTTTTTTTTGGGGGGGGCCAAGAAGCGAAAAGGATGCCACCAAAGTCATGCCCAGGGGTTTTACTTGCTGATAGCCAATGAATAAGCATACCAATGTCGTCTTTCAGGTGTTTATGGCTGTTCGACAAGCTCCAGACATGGGGCTTCCTCGTACCCCTCTGCCAGGGGATCCTCACATTGTTTGTGATAGCCAATTTCTCATTGGCAACTTTTATGAACCCAGGGATAATCCCCAGTGGTAAGCCTGTTTTCCTTCTGCTATTAGCTTTGTAAGCATCAAGCTCTTTTTGTTTTTGTGGGATAGCAGTTATCCTTCACCATAAAATCAGAGTGGAAAATTCCTCACCAAACAGGGAGATAAGAGTGGAAAATTGCCAGCCAGATAAGGCCTAAAGAGAGTGGAAAGAAGGATCTATAGCATACATTTAACATTTCTATGCATGTGTGGTAGAATGTATTATGGAAAATGACAATCAACTCAAATGTATTTTCTTGGTAAAATTAGAAGTGGAAAATTGATCTTGAAAGTTAGAGGTGATAGGGAAAATGTTTTTCATTTGCATATCATTTCCAACCCAAATTGACAAATTCTGTGACACTGTTCTAGGTAGGCATGCAATTACTTGGATATTTATTAGACGCACATCTGGTTTTCATCTTTATCTTGATGTCTATTTGTTAAGGCCAATGCTTGCTGCAGCTAGACATGATAAAAAAGAATAAAAGCCCATCTCTGAAAAGTATAAAGAGCAATTAATATGAAATGGAACAGCAGCTGTTATTCGAGCAGTTTCACCGGTGATTGCTAGCCAGTGAGTCAATGTGACTGTCGTGCCCGGCGGACAGCCATGTCAGACGAGGACCGGGACGACGACTTCCGGATGCCGCTCTACAAGAACGTCGAGATCGGCGGCATCACGGTGCGCATGAAATGGTGCGCCACGTGTCAATTCTACCGGCCGCCGCGCTGCTCCCACTGCAGCGTCTGTAACCATTGCATAGAGGTGAGTCTGGGTGTGTAGTCATTGTGTGGGTGGATCTGCTCATATTGTGTCTGTAATGAAGGTGTAATGAGTCCCGGCCCGGAAACGACGTATGCAATCCCCAAAAAGTGCCAAAGCTCGACATCAGCTGTTGTTTTGTACATCGACAGTGGATGATGAGCGAGAAAAGATATATGCTTTATTTGACCAGTTGCAGAGGGCTTCAGGCCGGTGGGAGGAGGGATAATTTTGACATTGAGAGTCTCTGTGACCAGAATTTGTCCTGCTCGTATGATTTTTGCGCTGTATATATTGTCGATATCGGTGAGTACTGTGCGAACTTGGCCGACACTGTCCTTACGTGATGTTCCCGCCGCCTTTCGACAGACGTTCGACCACCACTGCCCGTGGGTGAACAACTGTATCGGTCGGCGAAACTACCGGTTCTTCGTGCTGTTCCTGGTGTCGCTGAGCGTGCACATGGTCTCCATCTTCGGCCAGTGCCTGGTGTACGTGCTGCATCACCGGCACAGCCTCGGAGAGGTCGGAGTCATCGTCACGTATCCTTTCTGACGGACGGGAGGGCGGCGGTGGGATGGTAGCGAGGGCGAGAGGGAGGGGCAGAGTGGGATGGAGTGGGAAGCGAGAGGAAAGGGAAAGAGGTGCTGAGGGTGGGTGAGTGGGCTGGCACTAAAGGAGAGGAGAGGAGAGATGAAGGGGAGGGAGAGGGACGAAAGGATCGAAAGAGAGCAGTGGAATGCTAAAGGGCACGCCGCACGAGAGAAGAACAGGCATTGAGGGGTGGAGATATTGCGAGGGAGTACAGGGCTGGACGATGAACAGCGATAGTTCATGCCGGGTTGACCAAGTCTGCAGACTGGCCCCGCCAGCTGACGGCAGGGGCACTGGGTTTGATGTCAAACTTGGAGCGTCGCGCTTTGATCAAATTACGTGTGGTTGACGGCACCCGGGCGCGGCCGAGCCGCGTCTGCGAGTGATGAAGCCGTGGAGTTGCTCGGTCACTGCCCGGAAACGGTAATATCCGGTCACCTCGACCCTCAGCGGCAGTGCTGGGGTTCCGAGGGAGGCGGACCGGCCGAACAATAGTGACGTCGAGCTGCAGTAAATAGACCATTTTCGCGGTACTTATTTGCTTCAAACGTAACAAGCGCGTATTTCCCTGGAGTTTCGACGGAACTATTCATTAATTTGATTCATCTAACGTTAATGTTATTGTTTGCCTTGTAGTCCTGTGATTTATTTACCTTATGCTTGTTGTGTTCCGTATGACGGCAGTAGGCGTAATATATAACCAGTGCATGGCCACCTGCGTGTCTTTATGCACTCAGCTGTCTGTTCTATTTCCTTAACTTGTGTCTCGCGTATCTACGCTCAGTCTGGTGATTATGTGCGTGATCGGCGTGCTGCTGGTGCCCGTGCTCGGCCTGGCCGGCTTCCACAGTATCCTCGTGTCGCGCGGCCGCACCACCAACGAGCAGGTGACGGGCAAGTTTCGCTCCGGCTTCAACCCGTTCTCGCGGGGCTGCTGCTCCAACTGCTGTCGCACGCTGTGGGCGCCGCTCTATCCCAAGTAAGTCACGCCCAGACACTTGGGCCGAGGAGGTTAAGTGCTAATTTATGATCCCTCATTATTGACGGACCTCATATTAAGGATCAATCGAGTATCGACCTTGTGTAAAATCTATGAAGCGAGTTAATCGACAGCTGTTTATATTGACACTCGGATCGGTGTTTTGTAGTCCTATAAAGTGGAGACTGCCTGAGCTGCATCTCGCAGGCCCGGGACCGGAGTGGTATTTGGTATTTGTTGTTCTTATGTAAACTGAAAGTGAAAGGAATGAAGGAAAGAATGCTTCTCAGATCAAGTTAAATGCTTGCAAGAGCCGCGTGCTTTTTCACGCAACACGTATTACACAGCCGTGAAATCAATTGCACAGTTTTTGCATTGATTTCGGACTTCGTAATGTTATTTTTAGCTCTGGCTCTAGTGAGGTGCTAAATAAACGTCTTTATGCTGGGTGACCCCTGCTCCCCCTACCATGTATCTGTTTAAAACTTTGTCTTCTGGAACCACGCAACAGCAGTGCGGATCATTCCGAAATTGGATCTTCTTTTTGGTGTCCGACGTCTAGCGCATTACCAATCGCTCATGGCAGGGTCTTTCCAGCGTGTATGGGACATTTCGTTTACACATTTCAGCGGCGGTTGGGTCAGTTGCCTCATTTTGTTACATAATCGGGAAATGCCTTGATATCTGGCTTCCTTGTGATGCTATTCGATATGCCTTGAATCCAGGCATTAGATAAGTCAGCGGTGTTTTTATTTATGTCTCGAGGACAGGCGCACTGCACAATGCACATCCAATGTTGATGACTTGAGGAAGCTCCCGTTGGTGGCATGCTCTGACTTAAAACGTATCGTTCAAACTACAAGCATTGCCAATTCGCATCGCTTATAAATACTTCGCGCACTGTAATTTGCGCATTTCCGTATCGGTGACGGCAGTCCGTGCTTTGGTGACGGTCGGGCGTGCCGCACGCTCCCGCTGTCGGCTCGGTGCCGCTAATTTTAGTACGTTTTCTGCTCGCCGCCGTATTGTCGCCGGCGCTGTTTGCCGTCGCCCTCGCCGTGCGTCGGCCGCCTGCGTCATGCGTGTCGGTCCGGCTCGGGACAGATCAATCGGTGCTGCGTTCGCGCCGAGCGCTGCCGTGCCGGCAGCGGCACCGGCGCCCTCGAGCTGCTCGAGTGCTCTCTCTCCGACGGCGGACCGAGGCGCCGACTCGCTCGCACCTGCATCAGTGCCGTTATATAAGTCTGCTGATGAGCTAGGCTTGCTCCTCATCCATGCTCGTTCCTTGCGTTTCGGCGCAATCTTATTGCAGTCCGGCATCCGGGCATCCAGTCGTGATTTGCGCTTACCTTGCCGGTAGCATTGCATTGGCTGTGTTGATGCGTTATATCAGCATTGCATTGAGCCTCAGCTTCAGAATCTTTTACTCTTAACCAGTCCTCTACCGTTTCCTCTTTCCTCTATTTCTACCCTTCCACCCTTCCCCTTACACCCAATCCTACCGCACTCGTTCTTTGTTTTTGGTATAGTATCTCACTGTAGCACCCGTACAGATCGAAACATCCTTGCTCATCCACGAGTCATTTACCAGTAGCGTTTGTCATCTCTGCGTTCATCCGCTGCTCTGCGTCCGTTCATTTGTCATCTGCAGGGGCCGTGGGCGTGTCGGGAGCCGCCCACACCCACGCCCGGCCGGCCGGAGCGGCGACCGGCGCCCGGCGCTAAAATAATGACGGCCGCCCGCCCCCGTGGACAGGCGTGCCCGTCGCTAATGGGGTACTCAGAGCAGCGGGACTTACCTGCGCGGCGGGACACGCCGGTATCTGTGCGGAATTGTTTCCAACGTCTCGACATTGGGCGTGTTGGTATTACCATTTCAGTGAACGCGTATTGTAGTGGCGCGGTCTCCTGAGCGTCGGGCCGCCGGTCGCTGCAGTGTTTTCCGTGGCGACCATCCGTCTCCGTGTCTGCCATTAGGGCCGTGTAATGCCTATTAGGAGCCGCTGCGGTGCGCTCAGGGATTTCCATGGTCGGTGGAGGGACGGCGCTGACCCAGCGCCGACGGGCCGCGCTGCTCGCCCGCGGGGCTTCCGAGCGACCGCACCTCCCCCCCCCCGTCCACTCACCACGCCACTCGGACCTGAGAGGGGTGTCACACCGGCCAGCGAGTGACAAACGGGGTCGGGCGGGGTGGGGTGGGGCGGGTGGTGTTGTAGACTCTTGCGCCAAGGTGACTGGTATTTGCTACAGATGCGTGAATACTGGAGGGTATTATTTGATGATTATCAGACCTTGCTTGGTGTGATAAAAGAGTGACGTTGGGAGTGTCATCTGTTGGCTTTATTCTCATTTCTTTCGTCAGAAAGTGGTGTGTGGCTCCCACAATTAGTTCGGTCATATTGGCTCCCACGGCGCCCGTCCATGCGTTCCCGTTGAACTGCTCAGTGGTTGGCGATCCGCGTCCGTCAGCTGGGTGCTCACTGTGGCTTCAGGTCCGTTCAGGTTCAGGTCCATCCCAGCCAATGCGCCGTGAGCCCCAGCGGATACGGAGGTCCACATGCAGTGCTGAATATTAGTCATCTTACCATTATAGTCGAATTTGAGTTGTTTGAAATCTTTGAAGAAAGGATCGAATATCATTTTCACCAGGGAATGGCACATCCCATTGACAGGAATATTCTTGTACTTATATTTCATGGGATTTATGCATTTGGCAATTCACACTGACACAGCCAACAAGATATGTTGGGTCGTGTTGAGCAGCACCACGCCTCTTTCCCGCATCTGTACCGTGACCACCAGCCCCTGGCCGGCTGTGCCGCGCCGCCGCCGCTGCTCCATCCGGATCGGTACGTGCCGGTCGCGCCTCCCGCCGTGCGCGTGCTCCTGGCTATTTCGGCGGACGCCCCGGCGCGGCGGGCCATTCCGGTCAGAGTGGGCGGCCGGGCACGCCGGGCCGGGCAGCGGCATAGGCAGTGAGCCCACACGGCGCCCGCTGCCGGGTCATAGCGCTGGGATTGACTGTGAGGCGGCCCACGCTTACCGCTGATGGTCTGTGGGGGATGATTCGTGCTCGCACTGCGAGTGGGTTATCAAGACGCACGGTAGCAACATGTATCGTTCCTGCGTCGCAGTTTTGATTAATGTAGCTTACGTGGTGTATTTCTTCGCAACGTGTCCGTCACGTCCTGCCTGTTGACGTGGTGGGATCATCACCATGCATGGCTCAATCCTAGGGCTAGCTCGTCACATGTCCTCCCGCAGGCCATAGCCCCAGTGTGGTGGCGGCCTCGTCCGCCCATTCCCGGCCAGCGTCGGCGGTTGGAGCACGGGAAGCGGTGGGGATGAAGGGTTGCACTGATATCCGCTGACATGGACCTCTCCCCTCCCCGGTCCCCCCCCCCCCGGACTCTTGCTGTCCGCGGCAGATGTAACGTCACGCTACTGGCGGCACCGATACCACGATCCAGATAGCGTTATTTACAGTGAATGATGTCATACTTCGTGCTGTTTCACATGTGGTGCGCTGTTGGAACCTTGCTGTCAGTGCATTTCCTCTGTGCAAGCCGTATATCCGCAACACGTGTCTATTGCGATTCGACGGGTGCGCGACGCATGTTTGGAGGCTCTCGTGTGTGACCTGCCGTGACCCCCGCCTCCCTATGACCCGACATGGCCCCGTCCCTGTGATCTGACGTGACCCGCCCTCTTTGAACCCGACATGACCCCGCATCCCTATGACCCGACATGGCCCCGCCCTCTGTGAACTGAGGTGACCCGACCTGACCCCGTCTCCCGTATCACCCACAGCGTTAATCGTTTGGCCAAGGAGGCGCGACGGAAGCGGCACCCGTACAGCCTGCCGGCGTCACCGCACGTGGCTCCACCTATCACCAGCGAGCACCAGGTCAAACTGTATATCGACAACGGCAATGGCGTCCGCAGCAAAGGCGGCAGCGCCATGTATACCCAGGTAGGTGGGCGGACGGCGGTCCCTGGACGGCGTACGGGAGGGGAGGGCGGTGGAGGTCAGACTCGCTACACATTAGCAGCCACTAACGTGTAATTAACGCTAGACGTACCGGACCCTGGCTCCCTTTTCCGCGCTGTGACACTAGCCGCGCTTGTTTTCGTTACACGTAGAGTGTGTGTCTTAGGGGCAGTGAGACTGCTATAATTGGTGGATGAACTTTTATCAGTCGTTCACGATAAAGCCAATCTCTAGTGCTGATGCTGTATGGTTAATCAGCCTTATGGTTTTTAATGCGGTATTATTCTGTTGACGCCTCAGTCCGGCTGGCATCTTCAGTTGATGTGATATTCTAATTCAAATGCGTTATTAACATATCATTCACCTCGAGCTCTTTTCATCAATTAATGCAAGGTTACAGTTTTGGAGACGGTTCAAATTAGGGGTTATTGGGAAGCCATATTTTGAATGGTGGCAGCCTTGGCGGCGCATGTTGCCTGGACGTTTTCATTTCGTTCCGTTTCTGCACGGTTCATGGTGTGCTGTTCGGTATAACATACACTGGAACAATGCAAGAGCTCTGTTTACATGTTCGGCTATGTTGCATGCATGCGGCAGCATATATAAGGTACGATACCATACGTGAGGTTTTAGTGTTGTTTTGGCTCTTTCGCTGGTAATGGCTCCTTACGCATGCTCCCAATTACTAATGTATATGGTGACCTTTTCTTCCTTGTGGCTTTCGAAATTTATAAATTTATCTGCCTATCTAAAATGAAGGATGCAGATGTATCCAATCTGAGCACCGCTTTTTGTATAAACGTAATAATGATGAATGATCTCCCGTCAATGCAAGCCCGTGCGCTTTGTTTGAGACCCTGTAGAGTGTAGGTGAAAAAAGCCTGCAATATACGGTCAATGGGAGAGTGCAGCTGAAGTCGCATTCTTTTGATGCCCGACACCTCCTTCATTGGCTAATCATTTAATATATTTTCTCCTATCGCGTACGCTTGGTGACCGCGTTTTGCTCTATAGGAACTAGCGAAACAGATGAGTCACTGCACTTTGACGCAAGGCTATACTTTGATGCAACATTCTTTCTGTCGGGTACGAAAGTCATCAATGGGTGCTGTAAAATATACAGTCGTAGCAAGTATAGATCTACTTGTCTATCGTAGTATAAATCGATTGTAATTAAAATGAATGGAGAGTTAACCTTAAGTCCCAAATTTATTATTTTTTCTTGTCACCAAACCACCCTGTAATCGACTCATGGTCGGTAACATTACCGTGATAGTTAACACTAGTTTTTTTTTTGTTATATAACTACTAGCACAAGGTGACTCGATCTTGACGATGCGAAGTTTTTTATTGCTCCGTGGCACTTGCTTCGCCATGTATTGTACAATGTTTTCTTTCCTTGGCTTACAGCAGCGACTTGATACCCGTACTTTTCTAATACGGTTGTATTTGATCGTTGTTTGTGGCTTTTAACATCGACCAGTCTAACTTCTTGCCAGACATTCTCTGCTTAACTCATTTTTAATCAATAATACTGGTCAACATGAACATTACGTGGAAGGCATGTTTGACCCTGTGTAATCTGGTTTTGCCTGCTGTACGAATGCCCAGTGATGTTTTCATAAACTGTCAACATTTTCGGAGTGACAGTGCGCCTTTATTATTTTTGATCGGTCCTCGTTGAGTTTTACCTTGCTTCCTTGCAGATGACCCCCGTTACGCGCGTGCCTGAAGTAGACAGTTCACCAATATGGAGGCAATCCACCGTTTAGTCAACTGCGCTTCTTGTCTTTATTTTCTTGTCTTTATTCTAGGTAAGTTGTATGCCTTCGTCGCCCTCTTACTAATGCATTACCTACTAATACCCGATTCGGTTGGGCCTGCTCTTTCCCCTATTGCATCTGGTGGCTCTTCCCTTGCTGCTTTCGTATGATAGCGTTGAATTTTCCATGAGATTGTTTTCAGTTTATACGTTCTTTATTTTGCATTGGGTGTTGGCTACATTATTGATGGTTTTCTTTGCATGGATCTCTATCGGTGCGTCTCTATAGCACATTATCGGATACGTTGGCTTAACTCTGGCTGTACCCATAAGAAAAACACTTGGATTCGGCACCCACTCTGTTTATCACGTTTGGTCAGCGTTCAAATTGACGCTGCCCTGCATCGTTCACTGTTGATGAGGACACTGATTGGCCGATCTCGCCGATTAGTCGGTCGCTGATTGGCCAGTGCCACCGGTCTGCGGCCTCTGATTGGCTGTGCTGTGGCTGCGCCAGGTGACCAGCTGCGGCGAGGGCTCGGACGCGGAGCTGGACGTGGGCATGTCACAGTCGCGCGACTGCGAGGCGTCGCCGCCGGTGCCCCGCAGCGGCTCGAAGACCAACTTTTTCGCCCAGCGGCCGTCGGCCGGCACGCCGGGCACGCCCGCCGGCGAGTGTTCGCCGTACAAACAGTACTCCGGCCGCGCCACGCCGCAGACCCGCCCCGCCAGGTGAGTGTGGCACAGACCCGACCCGACCCGCCAGGTGAGTGTGTCACAGACCCGGCCAGACCCGACCCGCCAGATCAGTGTGTCACAGACCAGATCCGACACCCGACCCGCCAGGTTAGTGCGTCCCATACCCCAGACCCGACCCGCCAGGTCAGCGTCACAGACCGGACCCGACATGTCAGTGTGTCACAGACTAGACCAGACCCGACCCGCCAGGTGAGTGTGTCACAGACTCGACCCGCCAGGTGAGTGTGTCACAGACCCGACCCGCCAGGTGAGTGTGTCACAGACCAGACCCGACACGCCAGGTCAGTGTGCTATACGGTAGACCCGACCCGCCAGGTCAGTCCACGCCGCTCACGATCCGTGACTGGTCAATGTGTGTCTTTCTGGCCGATACTGGATAATGGGTGTTGGATGTAACTATGTAATCCGGATTTAAATATTTCGGATGTTTCAGGTTTACAACTTTCAGATGTTGTATTGATTCGTTGTAGGCTGTTGTTTATGCACAGCTTGTTGCGCTGAGTAATCCTTATTATGTTATTGCTCTAGCAAAGACCAGACTAGCTGCAGGTCTGCCACCCTGGCTGACTGTCGCGCACGGTTGCAGGGAGGGCCGCAAGTCGCGCAGCCAGACGCCAGAGTCGGTGTACTCGCCAGAGGGAGCGCCTGGCTCGCCGCGGGGCCGCCGGCCGACGGCCACCAGTCCCCCGCTGAGCCCGGTCAGTCGCGGCCGCCAGCCGGCGCTCTACTCGAGTCCGGCGCGCCGCTCCCAGCCGGGCACGCCGACGGCGCCTCGCAGGCCCGACTACATCCAGGTGAGGTCGCACGGCCACCACCCGCCGCCGCTGCCGGCGGGCGCGGCCGGGCCGGGCCGCTATCCGCAGTCGGCGAGTTACGGCGGGCTGGCGGCGGCCGCCGAGCAGCGGCTGCACGGCCCGGTGGCGGTGTACAGCGGCGCGCGGCGCACCACGGCCAGCGGCCTGCCTCAGCCCGAGTACGGCGCCGCCGCGCTCTACGAGTCGTGGCCCAGCTACGGCGGCGGCCACCCGGCACCGTTCGGGCCCCAGTCGCCGCCGGGCGCCCGCAGGAAGCCGCCCGTCGGCTACGAGCCGCCGCCGCCGCCGCCCGGCAGGTACGGCTACCGCCCGCCACCGGCCGGCGCCAGGGACCACGGCGGCGGCGGCCACCTGCCGCCGCTGCCGGCCATGGCCGACCGGGCGCCCGCCTACCGACCCCCGCCGTCCGGCGACCTGGACCGCGGCTACAGGGCGCCGCCGCGCGGCCGGGCGCCGCCGCCGCACCCCGCCGACCACTACGACTCCAGCTATGAGATATCGGTGTAGCGGCGGCGACCCACTGCCCCGGCCCGCCTGCCGTGCCATGTCCGTGTGATCGCCGCGGGCCGGCCTCCGCCAGTACAAACCGCCGTGGCTGCCCCGACCGACTCCGCCTCTCTCACACACATCATCTAGTCCGCTCCGTGATAGCCCGCGCCGCGAACGTCGCCAACGTCGTCCCAAATGTCGCAAACTCGCGAGTGTGTCGGCCGTGCGCCAGGCAGCTGGGGCGCGCTCGCCGCCCCCTGGTTGACTTTATGTGAGCAAATGATGAACGTGGATGCCGTGAGCGTGCCGTGTGTTGGTGCGCTGACCGTGTGTGTATATATCTGTTGTAATAACTGGAAGCGGTCGCGCGCGGCGCCACTCTGGGAAATCACGGGTGAAGTCACGCAGTGAGCTCGCCTCGGCATTAATTCAGTGTCAGCTTTACCGGAGCTCTCGTTGTTGGTAGGTGTGAAGGTTTAATCCTGGGTTTTGTGTGTGCAAGGGCCGCGGTCTGTGTGTCTGTTTCGCAGGCGGTGTCCGTGACTGAAGTCGGTGTTATGTGCTCGTGTACGGCGGCTCCGTGCCATATCGCTTCTGGCCGAGGCAGCCGCCAAAGTCATCTCCGTTTTAAACGTGCGACGTGGTGGCAGTATGCATCAACTCACAGGCTCTATTTTTATGTGGACTCCGCGGCTGCTGGGCTGATGTCCAGTGTGTGTGACGGACGGCCGCGGCCCGGACGCGGTGTGTTTGGGGTGTCTGTATTGGCCGGCACCGTACCATAGTGACCCGGCCCGCCGCGCCCGTCTGTTTGTGTCTGGTGAGCCGCGCGCCGCCACCTCTGGAGAGAGCGTCCAGTCCGCGCCGCTCGTCTGTAACTCTGTGTGACGTGGCTCGCCTTCGCCTGGGACGGGTGCGTCGGTGACTGTTTTGTACCGAGTAATGGTAGGCGTTGACATGGATAATTCCTAGTGATTTGCATATTTGCCCCCGAAATAAACTAAACCCTCTGTCCGTAGTTGTTTTACGGAAAATGCGAGATGTGTGTTTGTAGCTGTTGTTGATGACTCATTATAAGCCTGAATTGAGAAATCTGAAAATACAACATTGTTTTTATTGTACCAGTAATATTCTCTTATTTATTTGGGCAGTGGGCACCTTGCTATGTTCTGCAAAATGGGGCACGTCAAAGTCAATGACTTCCGAAAGTGAATGTTCTAAGAGGACTCGCACAACCGCCTGCGACTCATTCTTCTCATCTCTCTCGCTTCACTGACATTGTCCTTTTCCCGACAGGCCGCTCGCCTGTTTGCGATCGCTGAAATGAGCTACTCCGCCGCATCCACTCGGCGTCGAAAGACGTTTATCGACGAGCCAACCGTAGCACAGCTCGCTCAGTCGACGGGGACTATGACACCTGAACACAGCACTGAGGTGCCGGAGCTACTACTTGGCACTTGGCGGTCGTGTCATTCATCCACTTCACCCAGCAGTTGGCCCCCCACACGGGCGCGACGACACCTACGTCGACAGGCCACGCTGAGCGCGATCGGTGGAGACTGAGAGTCAGGTCATCTTATCCTAGCTCCGCACCGACTGCAGTCCATCGCATCGTCCCTCGGCTTCATCAACGACTCGACCTGGCTAACCCGGCGGCGGGGAGCGAGACGTGGAGTTCCTTCCCGATCAGCTGCTCTGCACGTGCTGCGACTCAGGTCGACCTCTGGAAGTGGAGACGCTGTCCGACTCTGGCGGAAGTGTTCCCGAGCTGGTCCATCGCATCATTCGTTCCTTTGAGTGGATGCGGCAGAACGAGTGGCTAACCGGTCTGCCCCGTTGATTTCTCAGGTCAGATCACCAGATGGCAGCCAAAGTCACCCTGTTGTGGCCAAGGGTGTCATACCAAACTGCCTGGCAGGCAGCGGCAGATCTCGTCGTCAATCATGATGTTGCTTTATTTACCCTTTTTATGTTGTTTTTCTCAGTGGGCATGTGGCACTGGTCCCCACCAATCTCGCCAGCTAGAGCTACTGATACTTTTACAGACGAGCTGCCGAATTGTCATTGGGCGTGACAAAGGCCAAGAACACGGGAAACAGTTTCTCATACTGGAGCTTCTGGGCCATTCGCCAAACAGAAGCATGACTGCTGTGGAAGACCGCTGGGTAGCCGGCCTTCTCGCAGAGTCGGCTCAGCTCAGCCGTTACTGCCGCCGCCAGCCCGCGCTTGCGATAACCAGTCAAAGTGTGCAGGAAGCCCAAGAAGCCGTCCTGGTTCACCAGCGCCCAGCAGGCCAGGCCGTCGGCAGGCAGGGGCTCCTGGTCGTCACCTCCGCCGTCCGTCGGCGGCTCGGTGACGAACGCTCCGGCAGACAGGCCCGCAACTATGGAGTCGTGGATCATCGAGTGCGCGTCGTCTATTTCATGGACGTACGGCCAGTGGCGCATTACTATGTCCACGTGTTTAGGAAGTAGCGGACGGATGCTCACTCCTTGCCTGTGAAACGACAAAAACGGACAGCTTTGGACAAGCTAAATGAAAATTGGGTGGCACTAAGTTATTATTATTGGCAATGACTTAGAATAAAGATCCAATGGGATGACGTACCTGGGTGAGGGTTTGACCTCCGGGAGTCCTCTTGGACGGGCGAATGTCACGTGTTTCTTCACTATGAAACGAACACTGAAGCCCATCTGGCGGGCGACTTCGAACAGCGGGTGCATCAGACTCTCGGGCCAGACGTCGACGCGGAACCGGCCGCCCCAGATGGCCGCTCGCAGCTCAGGGTGCCGGAGGTTCCTCGCCAACCGTCCCGGAGTAGACGGGCTGTCTGGTGCCGCCAGCGTAACCACACGGGTGTGCCCTACTCGTCTCTGTAGAGCACAGGCCAACGATATGATTTCGGGCTGGAGTTGGATGTGCAAATGCTTATTGGTACAAATGTAACAAATGGTTGGCAGGCGATGATGTGTGAAATTGACCGTCACATTCATATCAGTGGCGGCGGAAGCGGGGGGGCAGCGGGGGCACGGCGCCCCCCCCATCTTCCAGGGTGGGGGTGCAAACATATCTTTTTGCCCCCCCAAATTGTTATCGACGAAGAACCACAATACTTCCATACTACGTCATGAACATATGCCAGTTTGGCTGAGTACCTTTTTAAGTTAATAGAGCGAGTAATTTGGAATGGATTGATATTGTTGTCAATGTCGTCGTACATATTTTGATCACATTGGCTAGCATTTTGCAGTGCGAGTGTTACCAACCAAAAAGGTTTGCAATAGCCAATAATTGGCTAACTTTAACCTTCGCCCCAGTGGGGGGGGGGGGCATATGTTACCACCCTGTCGCGTTTTTTGCGTGTGAATAAAAAACCGCGGCACGTAGCGCCGCGCCGCTTGGGATAGCTTTTGGTACATTAATTTTGGACAATGTGTGAAATTTTTGACCCCAGGTCATGTCAGGTCAGGTCACCAGGTCAAGTTAACTGACCAAGCCTAAAAAAAGTTTGCAATCCTCTCCAGCCTGCAGTGTTTGTCAGAAAGGTTTGAAACTTGGTGGATTGCATGCTGTTATAAGCGCCTACAATTTGTATATCTCGGATTTTTTATATCCGTGACCTAAGTTCAGGTCAGTGGCGTGACCTTTTCATTACAAGTCAATGGAGAAAAATGAAAATGCCTCTAGATCCGTGTGTACGCATAGGAACAGTCCAAATATTTCAGAATCACAATGATTTATTCCACTCGTGATGACCTAGGTGTCATTTTTGCTGATAGCCTCTAGAAAGGTCATCCGAGGTCATTTGAGGCTACAAACAGTTTTTTGCCAATAACTCGCGATTGGAAAGAGATAGAACGCTGGGGATGGTCTCATTGTGTTTGTCTTGTTGAGACGCATCGACTGATATGCAACATGACCTATTCCGGTCAGGTCATGACCTTGACCTGAGGTCAAATTTTCAACTTGACCTTTCAAAGTCAAATTATAGTTCATTCGACGCGTCTCGCCAAGGGGAACACGATTCTGGCAATAAAAATGTCGTGGCTTTTTGTAGTCGAAAGTTATTGTCGAAAAACACTTTTCGTAAACACAGCTATTTTTGGAGTTTTTGCCCTCTGGAGGCTAAACCGTTGACCTGAGGTCAATATTGATAATGACCTTTTCAAAAGAAGAGTTCAAAAGCTATCGATTGCTCTTCCATGCGTTTTTCTAGCTACCATAGTTCCTGAGATAGCGGCATGTTTTCTGAAAAATATAATGACAATTGGCAAATTTTGACCTTTGATGACCTCTGGTGACCCCAATTTTGCTCTAAGGTGAAAAATGACCGAAATACTTTCAAACGTACGCATTGAGAGCTATCGACTGCTTTTTACCGCGTCTTTCTAGCCCTCTTAGTTTTTGAGTTAGAGGTGGGTGGTAACATATGCCCCCCCTCACTAGGGCGAAGTTGGGTGAGACCGCCACTGGGGCGCGGGTTAATGACGTCATTGGTTTAAAGGAAGCAAGTTGTTCAACGCGAACAACAGTCACGGTGACAGCCACAGCGTGCTACACGTATTTGAACTGGACTTGCCGCAGTGGCGCGGGAACCAGAGGGGCGGTTCCCGGGAACCGGCTGGAGGGGCTGGCGGGGGCTGAGCCCCTCCAACTTTTCGGCGGGGGGAGGGCTCGTAATGTAGGTATTTGAGACCCTCCAACCGGAGGAATCGAAATCGGAAATCTACCAACACAATTTCATAGATTTATTACCTTTTCGAAATGTTAACCAGAAACAACCTTCATTATGGAGCGTTCTAACGCAGAAGACTGTGACAACATGTCAGCACATATTCATTCTCTAAATATCATACATTTCCACCAAACGCCCTCCACACATAATGCTCAGAAATCAAGCAGCTATCTACGAGCTACCGGTAACCAGAAGAGTAGGACGGAACGCGAGTGGCCCGGCATGCGGACGTCACAGAAGCGCGTCTGAGCGTGCCACAGGCCTTTCCCCGCGACTCTGCCAGACGCCAGCCGGCATAGACTCGTGAGCCGGGGGGCAGCATGGGGGTAGCCTGCCCCCACAACTCTGGGGCCGTGGGGGGCGCAGGCGCTGCCCCCACAAAGTTTCATAGGGCCAGGAACCGTCGGGGCAGCTTGTCCTCCCTATATTAGCGGCCGTGGGCCTCAAAGAAAAGCTGAATGGAAGACAATACCTATTTAAGTAAAAAAATCCCCCTCTATACCTGATTTGACAGCTCATGTGTGAAAGCTTTAAACGTTTATTCCAAGTTACCAAAAAGGTAGTTCCTTGACTCAGATGAGACGGGATATCTCACTTTTTGCAAATGTTTTCGTTTCGATTTTTCGTTGTAAAGGCCAAGGGGTGAAAAATAAGTGGCCTAAAACCGGTGAGAAAACTAGATTTGGGGGTACCCTAGGTTCCGGGAAGGATCAGGTGTGCCCCCCCATCCCAAAATACCTTCCGCCGCCTCTGATTCATATCAACTGATCGCTGTAATCATAATGGAATAAGCATAGGCGGTGGAACGGGGAGGGCACCGGGGCACCGTGCCCCCCCCCCCTTTGATTTTGGCATCTTAACATTAGCCCTATGGGCGTTGCATGGAAAGAATGGGACCAAAAGTCGGCAGTGCCAATTGAAGGTGTTCCGCCGCTACTGGGAACAAGGGAGATACAAGAACACATGATCATTGATCGCTTACCGTGATAAGAATTACCAAAATATCTTCCGACCAGCCACTGTAGAAGACCTCATAGCGGTACTTGTTTATGCCGTTCCGAAGCAATAGAAGACCGAATCGCAGCTGAAAGAGAGAAGAATGGGCAATATTACGCGGTCCGAAACGACGCGAAGCGCAGCTTCTGCGTCCTGGGGTGTTTTTTTTTATAACAGTTGCCGTAGTTTGGGAGCTCGTGGCGAGTGTAACTGCTCCGTGCTTATTTATGTGAGTCGTGATATAAGATATACAGGTGCACCAAGTCCATGTCCTTGCCGCGCGGCTGCGGGCTGCGTACACGTACCTGGGCGCTGCGTGTTCCGTGCCGCTCCAGCTGGGCCACCAGCTCGTCCAGGTGGCCGTGCTCGGCTCGCACCACCGTCTCCGTGTCACCGACGGGCGTCAGCTTCATGGTAGCGCGCCCCGACGGACCGTCCGCAGCCACCCTTCGCAGACCCGTGGCCGACACTGCGCCGCCGGCCCAGTCCGATACCGCGCGCCGCAGCCTAACCGCAGATGAGGCGTCCTGTCCAGACACCCTGCTGGGCTCAGTTGTTGATGCCCTTGAACATTGCAACGACCTCGGGTCCCATGTGCACTGCGCAGCGCATGCGCGGTGCGCATCCTCCATGTCCTATGAGCATGTCGTTTGGCCGATTATGCATCGACTGACGTAAGGCCAACTGACGTCACATTGCACAGCAACACGGGCTGGACCGGCACGTCTCCCAAAGATTCAGGTCGCGGAAGATGTGCTTTTCTGTCGGGAATTAAAAACTTTCGTCTACAGCCCAACCAGCGTGAGTGAATCACATTTAGATAAATTGCTAGCTTGGTCAAATTTCAAACTTAAATGATAGGCACTGAAATAAATATTATTTCTCAATATAAATATCTTTTATTTCTAAGATAATGAAAAGATACAGATGGCATGTAAAGTAAAAAGCCTCAAATAGCATATGAATCACGTGATCATGCTACCAACCAAATATCACCTACCCTGACAGCGATGCCATTCCTTGGGATTTGTCCCAAGATCTTGGGATTTGAACATTAACATTGGGATCTTGTGATTTGCGCTGCATATCTTGGGATCTGGCAGAAGCTGATTTCACTTTGTCTTCTCATGCTGTCGAATGCTTTTTTCCTTGGTCGATAATAAATTTAGGATGGATTTGCCTCACGGACGGTTAAAGGGACCCTCCCACCTTCAAAAAAGTTAATGAATTGGCATAAAAGTGATGTAGCGTGAATCACAAAGAGCGAAAATGAACATCTACCAAATTTTACCGGAAAATATTCAACCGTTTTCGAGATATAAGACTTTTATTTTTGTTTACTTTTTGGGAACTCCGCTGTTTCTATGACGTCATATAAAGGTTTTCTTTACGTCGGCATTTGGAAGCAATAATTTGGTATCAAAGTGCGACAAATATTGCGCGAATGATGCGTTTATCTTATCAAGGTCAATATATGATGGCCAACAAAGGATTCCAGCAAGGCCGTGATTCCAGGACAATTCTTCTTATGGCATTTTTTCGTATCGCAATTCTTCGTCTGCAAATCTTCGTCAGGGCATTTATTCGTATCGCATTACTTTGTCTCGCATCAGGGTATATGAAAATCGGCTCGCATTTCTTCTTCAACGCAAATATATGCAAGAGTAAGCATTGATGGACAAATAAATGCACCGACGAAGATTTGTAGACGAAGAAATGCGGACGAAGAAATGTCATGCGAGGATTCGTTCGGGTACCATGACATTTATGTGATTTCAAAGTCAAGGTTCACAGCTGATCTGCTAAATCAAGCCAAGAATCCAAACTATCAAAAAACTATAAATATTTGTTTGTCTGTCACAGAGGTCTCAAGCAATATAAGGTTGACATATGTTGAATCAAAAATCTACTGCCACAACTCACATCTCCTGCCTTAGTTTATCATTGTTGTTTTAACTTGCTTTCAAGAGAAACAGAAGCCAGTATCTGATATCACTTCAGATGATTGTTTCAAGATCTGAGTTCAAATGGAATTAAAAGCAAGATCAAGATGAAACAGGGATTATTGCTGTTAAAGTAGTTTGGCCATGATACAACAGGCACATAAATCATTAGCCAAATCAAATACTGGTTGGTTTGTCAAGATGTTTGTTGTCTGTCGTCTGTCGAGCTGCTATGAACACTGAACGCTCTCACTCTTACTTTAAAGAGAGTAGTTTAAGTTGAATGGTAGTGAGCTGTAATTAGACAAAGCAGCTATTCAGTGCTCACATCAAGCCAGGCTAGGAAATGGCATCAACTGTGGTGGGAGGAAGCAGGTTCGGCAGGCCTATGTTGTAAACTTCTGTTGTGTCTTGTGTTTGATCAACTGATGTTTTCTGCTCTGTTTTGTGCAGTGATAGTAGCAGGTAACTGCATGCTTGTCAAATTATGTGAATAAACGAATTCATAACATTGCATTTTTCTCTCCATGCAAGGAACAAGTAAGATGTTGTAGAAAATGTAATAGAGGGCTGCATTGCTGATTTCATGCACTTTATCAGAGCTTTATTTAGAATTGCTTTCCTGAAAGCTACACACAGGCCACAGCACTGAAATTCACAATGTCATAGCTTTTGGCAGAAAAAAAGAAAAGACTTGCCTAGGTAAAATTGACAAAGTATGGCAGAGCAGGTCTTGATGCGTATGCCCATCCGTGTGCTTGGCGAAGCCGAACTGACTGCAACACATTAACTCTGACCCACCATGGTGGCTGGCATATCCTGAACTTTCACCACTCTAAACAAGACAACTTTCAGCCCTCAGCATTGTATTAAAACACTGTACATGGCAGTTGACACTCAAAATTTGTTTCAGTGCCATCCACGGACAACATCAGTCGCCATTCACCAGGCCAGTAAAAACAGAATAGATAAAAGCTTCAAACCCATGTAGTCAGAGTTACTAGGTCTGCACCTCAAAACAAAATCCAGGTGACATTCACCACGCCAGTAAAAAAACAGGTAGGTACTTAGGTAACGTAACAGCTTCAAATCTGGTAACATGTTGGTCGGACTTAACACTACCATATGTACATACCTTACCTTACCTTACCTTAGAAGTACACGGAATTTTGAGGCCAAGTAGCAGGCCTATTGGACCGGATCATTACTTTAAACTCGCTCTGTTTCTATTGATCGAAGACTGATGAATATTGGATGTTTTTCCAGTGGGAGTCGAGTCGGGACTTGAAGGCATTGACAGTAGGTGCGGATACAACAGAGGGAGGCAGGCCGTTCCAGCTGTTGATTGCTCTGACTCCCAGAAAGTTCCTCCTCGCTCTTGATCTTGATCTTGGCTTGTGGAGCTTCAAATGATGGCCTCGAGTAATCCTGGAGCTTGCCAATGGAAGGAGACCTGGGCGCACATCGAGGGAGCCCCGGAGTATCTGGAAGACCGTTATCATGTCTCCTCGTAGGCGTCGATACGTAAGTGAGGGCAGGTCCAACTCCCTGAGTCTCTGCGAGTATGGCTTGGGCCGTAGTTCACGGACCAGCTTGGTAGCACGTCTCTGGACTCTCTCTATCTTCTTTTGGTCTCCCTTCGATGGCGGTCCCCATATACTGTTACCATATTCCAGGTGAGGTCTTATCAAGGTCCTGAACAACACAGTAAGCATGTCTTTGCTAAGATTTCCAAACGATCTGCGGATGATTCCGAGGAGCTTGTTTGCTTTGGCCACAACCCTTGCTGTCTGAACATGAAACTTCATTGCACTGTCTATTGTCACGCCTAAGTCCTTTTCTTCGTCAACAGCAGTGAGGTTTGATTCAAACATTTTGTAGCTGACACAGGGGTTCCTGGGACCCATGTGGAGCACCTTGCATTTGTCCAAGTTGAGTGGGAGTCTCCAGCGTTGTGACCACTCAGCTACTTTGTCGATGTCTTCTTGAAGTCGAAGTCTATCACTGGGGGACTGAACAGGACCGAACAGCTTGGAGTCGTCCGCGAAAATCTTGATATGACTTTCAAGATGGTCAGGCATGTCATTGATGTATATGAGAAATAACAAAGGACCCAGTACGGAACCCTGAGGAACACCACTTTTCACCTTAGAGCTGCTTGACAAGGCGCCTTCGACCAGGACCTGCTGGGTGCGATCAGACAGGAATGCTTCGACCCATTTCAACACCCTTCCATCAACACCATAGTACTTCAGCTTAGAAAGAAGAAGACCATGTGGGACCGAATCAAATGCCTTGCTAAAGTCGAGGTAAATGGTGTCGACAGGCTGCCCAGAGTCTATTGCTCGCGTCCAGTCATCCATAGCTTCAAGGAGCTGGGTTGTACAGGACCTTGCAGGACGAAAACCATGCTGGTGAGGACTAAGCAGATTGAAGCTCGCTAGGTGAAACATGATCTTGTCCCTGACAACTGATTCCATGATCTTGCAAACGACTGAAGTTAAGCTGACTGGTCGGTAGTTCTTTGCATTTTCCCGGTCGCCTTTCTTGAAAATGGGAACTACTGTAGCGTGACGCCATGTTTTCGGAACGATCGACGTTTCCATGGACTTGTTGAACACCACAGCAAGAGGATGGGCAACCAATGGCGCCAACTCTTTCAAAACTCTGGGATGAACCCCATCTGGACCTGGTGCTGCTGACACATTGAGACTCTCGAGCTTGGACGTGACCTCAGCGGGGCTCACCGACATGTCACTGAGGATCTCATCAATTTGAGGGAGTCTCTCGATGCTCTGGGCTGGCGAGGCAATTGGTTCACTTGTGTAGATACTGCTGAAATGCTTGTTCAATATCTCAGCTTTCTCATGTGGTTCATATCTTGGTATACCTTGTTCGTCTATGATAAGGTCGATTCCAGACTTGGTTTTGAGGCGAGAGTTGGCGTACTTCCAAAAAGCTTTTGGGTTGTCCTTCAATTGAGATACTATGGATACTTCAAGTTGGGTTCTCAGCTTCCTCGTCATTTTTCTAAGGGCGTTCCGTGCAGCAGCATATCTAGCAAAGTCCTCTGGGCGTCTAGACTCCATGTATATGGCCCACAGATTTCGTTTCTTTTTACGCAGTCTCAAGGCTTCTTTGTTCATATACAAGTTTTTTGCTTTAGCAATCTTAGTCTTCGGCACAAACTGTTCAATGAGGCCCGCTATACTGTCTTGAAACAATGTATAGGCATTCTCCACATCAAGCCCTATCATTGAACCCCAGTTGACTTTGCTTGCCTCAAGCCTTAGCTTGTTAAAGTCAGCCTTGTAAAGGGCAGGCTTCAGCTCTCTATGAACAGATTGTATTGTGTAGCAGTTCACAGTAATGGAATGGCGGGAGTTGGCGCCATTCCATTACTGGAATGGCGCCAACTCCCGGAATGGAATGTAATGGAAAGTAATGGAATGTACATGGAATAATATGATACCAAACAATAGTGCAACCATTCTGGACAACAAAAGTGTATGATAAAATTAATTTAGAATACTTTGGCAGCATGATTTACGAGCACAGGCAGGTGTTACCTACCAGCCTTCTCAATGCTCGTAAAACCAACATTGTAGTTTTGATTTTACCTTACATGATAACACACTTGGCTGCAATGGCACTTTTAATTTAACAATGTGAAAAGACCAGTTATAACCACTTCACAAGCACAATTGCACCTCATGCCGACATCCTTTTCCAAAGACAGTCAGCAGCGTCTTTCGTCAAATCTGGAAGATCAATCCCCTTTCAACTGTTAACATCAAAAATATTTCTTCATGGTGTGATCTCCTATGGAAACCTTGCGGGAAAAGAATTAATGTCAATTGTCAGCTCTTCAAATTTCTTTGGACTTAAACTTGCAGTACCATATCCAGTTTGCTTTGATATTTTGTTTTTCATTCCATGTTGAAGTTGAACACCAAGCTCCAGATATAGCAGGCAGCTTGATCATCTTCGGCCTTGGTATAATATCAGTCCAAGTTCCAGTGGTGGGTATCTTCTAATATTCAAATTAAAATGAAAAGCAATAGGCTTTCTCAGCGCCGACGACGGATTTCACACGTTGATAAAAAAGGGAGCTCAAGGTCAGCAAAACTCGGGTCCAAGGAATGGCGGGCGTTGAAATGACTGCTGACGTCATCAACAAACCGCTAATGGTTAAGAGATAGGGACTAAGCTGGTCCCACCCTGCAAGTAAAGGGAAGAAATTTCTTGAACACCATAAAGCTGCGGGGGTTGCGACCAGGATAAATGGTGGTTTCTGAGCCTGGCCGCAAACTTGGCTATCTCAACTCAAAACTAATGTTAAGGTGGGATGGTCCCTTTAATAGCATTCAAACATATTGAAGTAACGGACGAAGCTTGCGATGTTTCTTGCAGGCATTATCTTCCCGAGGTCGCATGATTATTTTTGTACCATTACTTGTTATGGGTATAGTAGCAGCTTTCAGTCGCTGTTCGCAACTGGCGCTCATTCGTTTAATTTCCAACTACCGATCAACGGGGATGGGTGGTTTGGCGGCATGATGTTGGGTGGCTATGAAAAGCTTTTACAAACATTATGCCTAAAAAAAAATATTTCAGAAAGCGGCTCCCGCACAAAGCGTTTCATTTTACGGTTTTGCTCTATGGAGGCTTATCCGTTGAACGCGAACCAAAATAAGGGCAATTTGTCTTTGACCTCGGAAAAGTGTCTGGTCACCTGACCTCTTGGCTCTGCTGGACCAAAAATAATCAAAGCGTAACCTTGCGACCTTCACAACACTGCTGACGTCTTGTAACTATACAGAGCTGGGCATTGCGCAACTTAAGTCCGCAACTCCGCAACTCCGCAACTTGCGGACTACCCTCTTGGTAGCGGAGTTACGGATCGGCTACCGAGCCCAAAAAAGTTGCGGAGTTGCGAGTTGCGGAAGCGAAAAATTCTAAAGCGCAACCGCTACCGGGGCCGCCACCGCTGGTGGGGGCGTCACTGTACTCTTTGCACTCCACTGCACACTGCACGTGTTTCCAGGCTAGTTTTTGAAGCTGATTTCGAATTTAATGACCGTTTGAACATTTACGAAGTAGTTTTAGTGCCTTAGTAACATGTTACGAGGCTTTCAGTGGTGGTTGACACTGGATAGGCGGTAGGACGCCTACTGGTTGACCTGACCTGACCTGACCCGACCAGGCCCAAATGCATGAAGACGTCATCTTTGATCAAAACCAACATGAAATTTGTTATCAGCCCCCCCCCCCCAAAAAAAAAACATAAAAGCTTCACTTTACGAAGTTCTAGCAGGTCCGATTTTCGCGACTTTTGGGTCATTGACCTGGCCTGGAAGGTCAACCAATGACCTATGACCTTAAAATTGGGTATCATCAGCTTCCTCTCGTCACGGGCAACACGCTCGTTTTTTTTCCCGCGAAGAGCTCTAGCTTGATCAGGGGTCGAACGGCAGGGGGGGGAGGGGGTCCAACCGACGTACACGTTAGACGCTGTAAAACACCGCACACAGCGAGGGTTAAGTCAAATGTTATGGTCGCCAGCACGGGGCCGGGGGCGGGGGGGGGGGGTGTTTGGATACCCCTCCGTAAGGTTTTCCGCAAATATATAAAAAAGGCGGCGGCAGCGCGGCTGTTTTCGACACTGCTATTAACACATCCTTTCCACACATTGTATCAACATGTCAGACCCAGGTCACCTCAGGTCAGGTCACCAGGTCAAGTCAAGGGACCCAATCTCCGAAAAAATTTAAACACCCGCCCTAGCAATACAGGGCAATATAGCAATATAGATACACCTATTGACCGATCACTTTGAAACTGTATATAGGTAACTACAAAGTGTATTGTCTCATATTTTTTTTATATTTGTGACTTAAGGTAAGGTCAACTGTGTGACCTCTCCATTATAAGTCTATGGGAGAAAATAGAACTCGTCCAGATTTGCGGCAAAATGATCCCAATCAACTAAAACATGCAAAGAGTAGCACTGGCAGGTCATTTACGTCGACTGGTGTCGCAATGACTTGCGCATTGAGCATTATAGGTCACGTGACGTCATCAGAGGTCACCAACAGTCAGGTCACCAACAGAGGTCAACCAAAGGTACTACCTGTCAGACATAACACTGCACAGGACTAAAACTGATAAAACATAGGAACCTAATAGAGGTTGGTAGCGGAGTTGCGGAGTTGCGGAGTTGCGAGTTGCGGTTTTACGATCTGCAAAATAGTTTCGGAGTTGCGATTGCGCTTTGGGTACCTTAGGTTGCGGAAGGTAGCGGTAGCGGTTTCCAAATTTCGGTAGCGATGCCCACCTCTGTAACTATATAGCCCAGGGGACGAGTTAGGTCCTCGTTTAGACCCCCTCGCCATCGTCGGCTTGAAAATTCATGGGCCCCAGCGGGCACTGGCTTACGCGCAGATTCACAGCATAGGCTTTTCGATTTCGGGATTCACATAAGCTTTTAAGAGCTTGTTTTGGAGCCCATATTTCAAAACTCAGTGGTGGAAAACACTGAAAATCAGCCTGACCTCACCTGACCCTAGCTTCTCCAAATGTGTCACGAGACAAATTTCGAAATAAATCCAAAATGCCACAGACTTCGTTTCCAAGAAGTTCTAATAGATTCGAACTTTGTGTTTTGGGTCCTTGACCCACCATTGACGGTCGACGAATGACCTGACCAAAGTAGCAGATACCACGGGCTTCATGTTGTCTAGGCCAGCATCTTCATTTTTCGTGAAACTCTTATACTCGGTCAGGAACCGATCAGCTGTAGGAGGCCCCTCCCCCCGGCCTCTAGGACAAGGGTGGGCCAATAAGGACAAGGGTGGACCCGAAGAAGAGAAAGTTGAATACTAAACACACTAATATGTCCAAAATAAGCTAAGGGTTTACTTGGGGTACTCCTTAGGCCGCGTTCCCACTACGACCGTTCAACATCGTAAATTGCAAGAACGGGAGGAAACGGACGAGATCGTTGATCTAGAGACTTTTCTAAAAAAGTTGAACACTTCCCTAGATCTGGTATACGGGGCAAGATGGGGAAACATCGTGAGACATCGGCAAACGGCTTGGACAAAACCAATTGAGAGGAGCGATGATGAAGGAGAGATCGGTAAAATAAGCTATTGTATGTAAAAAAATGTTCAGAATACCTATACGTAGTTGACGTGGTAAAAGATCCCATGCAACTGAATGAATGATAAAATTAGAAAACCTTTTAAATTTATTCGCGTGTTTTGAGCGTGTTAAAAGTACGCGAGCATTAGAAAATATATCAACAATGCCAGCGAAAAGCATTCACAGCTGTGATAACGACAATCTATTGACTTTTGAAGCGAAAATGTGTGCAGTTGATATAACTCATTGTGGTTTTGCTGTGAATACCTTCGGGAAGCTGTAACCGATAAATTGCAAGTTCCGATGATTTCCTAACAGTTTATTATGGCAATCCTCGATAAAACATTTAGCAAGTTGAAGCAGGTTGTAATGCAACTGAATTTGCCGACACAGGTTCAGCGATTTAGGTATACGAGTACAATTATACGAAGCCGGCATTCAGCTTACAGCAGTGCCACGGCTCATGTCACCATCGTCATGCGACTACGCCATCTCGTCAGGTGATGCTTGAACTGTATAAAGGCAATTATATCAGCTGAACAGACGAGAAACACTTATGAGTTCAGCAAGGAAACTAACGCCGTGTGCTCAATGAAGATAAGCGAGTGTATTCGACCACAACGGTTCACAGCAGTTGTTGGCAACTGTCGACGTTTGTCTGACAGCTCTGCAGTGTGGCGTCGCATCACAATGCAGCGGTCTTCCAGAGGAGAGCTTGGCCTAAGCGTTTGAGATACCAGGCCTGTCTACCTGAATCTACGATGCAACTCTTGGTAGCTGGCGCGCAACCGGATGGCTTCTTTATCTACCTATCTCCGAGATTCTGAGTTCCGGAGCGGTGCTACGAAAAGAGGGAGATCAGAAGTGCAAGTTAGATAGGCATGCGCGCCATTTCGATATTCTGTATTCGGAATTCAGTGAATGTTGGACATATCTAGTCCTGCGGACGAGACAGAAACAATGTTACAGAGGGAAGGCACTGCATACATGTCTATCTCCCCCCAGTCTTTGCCGGCCGGGAACAAAGACTTACATAGATTGGCATAGATTGAAGGGTGCCGTAACGAAACGACGCCGAAAGGCCAAACGACGGGTCGCATTCACGGGAGCGCGAACAAACAAATAGCCCAGGGGGCAACAAAACACAGCTTCTAGGCAACCAGAACGAGTGGACCGGCTGGAAAACGAGCCGGGACAACGATCAAACACTAAACGCGGAACATATCTGTTATAACGTGAGCTCTCAGGATGTTATAACGTGAGCTCTTTATTCACAACCAAAGCCGCATTGCGTTAAACTCCCTAGAGCGCCAAACACCGATCGCTACTACCACAACCGCGCTCCGCGCGGGCCGGCGGCCGACAGCTCTCGAACCCCGCGTCTGCGCGCCGGCGCCGCCAATGGCGTCGCCAGGCCCCCGGGCAGGGGGGAGCAACTGGCGTCGCCAGGCCCCGGGGCAGGGGGGGAGCAGCTCGCGACACCACACCCTGCCGCCCTTAAAACGGAACACATTCACTTTAACCTGCCGCCCTTAAAACGGAACACATTTTAAACCGGAACGTGGAAACAAACACATTACGCGTCGGAACGTGGAAACAAACACATTACGCGTCGGAACGTGGAAACAAACACATTACGCGTCGGAACGTGGAAACAAACACATTTTAAACCTCGGCGATCAGTCGCCTCGGGCACCTCCGGCGCCGAGCGGAACGGCGTTGCGAGGGGCCCTCAGTGTCCCCGCCGCCCCTGCCGCCGCCGTCACCGCCACCGCCGGTGTGACTGTAGCCGCTGAGGTCACCGGTATCACCGCCGCCGCCGAGGTCACCGGCACTACCGCCGCTGCTGACGGCATCACCGCCGCCGCTGAGGTCACCGGCACTACCGCCGCCGCCGGGGTCACCAGCACGGCCGTAGCCACCGGGGTCACCGGCATCCCCGCCGCCGCCGAGATCACCGGCACGGCCGAGGCCGACTGCTCCCCGGTCACAGGCCTGACCGGCGACGCCGGCGCGGCTGCCGTCACCGAGGCCATTGGCGCGATCGTCTCCGACAGGGCGCCCGGCGCTGCCGCCGGCGCCACCAGCCCGGTCACCGCCGGTCGTCGCTCTGACGTCACCGCCGGTCGTCGCTCTGACGTCACCGCCGGTCGTCGCTCTGACGTCACCGCCGGTCGTCGCTCTGACGTCACCGCCGGTCGTCGCTCTGACGTCACCGCCGGTCGTCGCTCTGACGTCACCACTGGTCGCCGCTCGGACACTACCGCCGGTGGCCGCTCTGACGTCACCGCCGGCGCTGTTCCCTGGGTCCGCCGCCGCCGCCAACAGCTGGTCAACGTGGCGCGACCAGATCACGTGTCCCACGTCCACTTCATACGACACGGGACCGGGGCGGGCGACCACCGTGCCGCGGACCCACTTCTGACGACCGTCATACGAGCGGGCCCACACTGTAGCTCCCACGGCGAATTCCCTGCTCCGTCCGCCGGCCGTCTCACGCTGCCGGTCCCGAGCCGCCTGCAGAGCTGTCTCGGCGCTCGGAACCATGAGGTTCATACGAGTGCGGAGGTTCCGCCCGAACAGCATCTCAGCGGGAGTCCGTGCGGTCGCGGCGTGGGGCGTCACTCTGTACGCCATCAGAACTCGGGCGAGCGCCAGTTCCATGCCTCCGCTGTCGTCTGCTGCCAGAGTCGCCTTCAGTGAGTTTTTTAGCGAGCCGACCGCTCGCTCCGCCATCCCATTAGACGATGGGTGATGGGGCGCCACTCTGACATGTCGGATCCCGTTAGAGCTGGCGAACTGGGCGAATTCCTGGCTCGTGAACTGTGGGCCATTGTCCGTTACCAGCGCCAGTGGTAGTCCGAGACGAGCAAAAACCGTCCTCATCACCGCTACGGTCCGCTCGGACGTGGTCGTCTTCATTGGGATCATTTCAGCCCACTTGGAGAAACTATCCACCATCACCAGGAACCAGGTGCCCTTCAGAGGTCCGGCAAAATCGGCATGCACCCGCTGCCACGGGCCGTCCGTCGGCTCCCACGGGTGCCGTGTCGCCTGCGGCGGCTCAGCTCGCTTTGAGACGCACGCCTGACACCCGCGAGCCAGCGCCTCCAGCTCAGCATCGAGTCCCGGCCACCACACAAAGCGCCTCGCCAGCTGCTTCATGCGAGTGCAGCCGAAGTGACCCTCATGCAGCTCCCGCTTGACGGTGTCGCGCAGGCTGCTCGGGATGACGACTCGGCCGCCCCAGAGCAGACAGTCGGCCTCAGTCGTCAGCTCCTCTCGGCGATTCTTGAAGGGAGCCAGGTCCGGGTCCACCACCGCCGGCCAGCCCGATCGCACCGCCGCCAGAGCGCGGGCGAGCGCCGGGTCTCGGCGCGTGGCCACTGCTATCTGCTGCGCGGTCAGACACGGCCCCTGCTCGGCGATGAACATTACGCCGCCTCCGCCGTACGCCGCCTCCTCTTCTGCCGACAGCCGGTTCTCCGCCTCGTCCGGCACCGACAGACGGGACATCGTGTCCGCCAGCCTCATGTCCTCCGTCCGGCGCAGCTCGATCTTGTACTGATACGCCGCGAGCTGCAGCGCATACCTTTGCATGCGAGCCGCCGCCAGAGATGGCAGCTCACGGTCCGGGTTTAGGATCCTGGAGAGCGTCCTGTTGTCGACCACCAGGGTGAACGGCCGACCAAACAGGAACTGGTGGAACCGCCGCACTCCGAACGAGACGGCTGCGGCTTCCCTCTCCACTTGGGCGTACTTCCTCTCCGTCGGAGTGAGCGTTCGGGAGGCGTACTGTACCGGCCTCTCGAGCCCCTCGGGCGTCACTTGCATCAGAGCCGCTCCGACTCCTGTCGCACTGGCGTCCGTGACGAGCCGCAGCGGCAGCACGGGGTCGTACCGCATCAGGACCGGCGCCGTGGACAGCATGTCCTTCACACGGCGCACTGCCGCGGCGCACTCCGCCGTCCATGCCCATTTGACGCCCGTCTTCAGTAGCGCGTAGAGCGGCGCTAGCACGGTAGACAGGTTGGGCAGCAGCCGCTGATAATAGCTGACTGACCCGATCAGAGATCGCAGCTCCTGCACGTTCCGAGGGTCAGGTGCTGCTGTGACGGCCGCCGTCTTCTCTTGCACCGGGCGCAGACCCGCCTCAGACAGTCGCCAACCGAGATACACCACTTCTCGGACTCCGAACTGGCACTTCTCTTTCTTGAGGCGGACGCCGTTGTCCTTCAGCCGCTCCAGCACCCGGTCCAGCCTGTCCATCAGCTCACGGTCACTGTCGGCGCCGATCAGCACGTCGTCCAGGTAACAGACGACTCCTGGAAGACCATCCAGCACCTGGTCCATGATCGCCTGGAACTGCGCTCCACAGGTGCTGATCCCGTACGGGAGACGGTTCATCCGCATCGCACCACGGTGTGTGGTCACGGTGGTCATCTCTCGGCTCTCTTCGTCCAGCTCACACTGGAGATAGGCGTTCCTGCAGTCCAGCTTGCAGAACTTTTTCCCTCGTATGCTGGCGAATAGCTCCTCCGGCGTGCGCATCGGATACTTCAGAGGCTGCAGCTGCGGGTTCACCGTGATCCGATAGTCCGCGCACAGCCGCACGCCGTCCTTCTTGGGGATGGGTACGAGCGGCGTACCCCATCCGGAGAAGTGTCCAGGAGGCACCTTCTCGGCGATCCCTTGATCCAGCCACTTGTCGAGCTCCCGCTCGATATCTTGCTGTAGCGCAAACGGCACCGGTCTGGCGCGTCGATAGACCGGTTTGGCGCCTTCCTTCAGTCTGAGCGCCACCTTCACCGGGATTCTGCCCAGTTCTTCTTTGAACACCTCACGGTGTTTGTCCATCACCTCCTTCAGCGTCGGCTGAGTCGCCACCGGGCACACGTTCAGCGTCTCCAGACCCGACGCCGTCCTCAGCGCCTTGATCCACTCTCGTCCCATGAGAGGTCGGTGAGAGCCCATGTCGGACACGACGAGTCGCAGCCGTGTCGCTCGGCCGTCCGTCTCCACGTTGACGTCGGCCTCGCCTCGCAGACGGATTTGCTGGCCGGTGAATGACGTGAGGTGCAGCTCACTCGGCCGCAGCGTCAGACCGGGGATGTGAGTCTCCGCGCTGATTATAGTCACCGGTGAGCCGGTGTCGATCAGCATGGTGAACTCCTGGCCGTTCACCCTGACCGTCGCCCACTCAGCTGCGGCTGGCTGCACGGCGCTGACTTGCCAGTCAGCCTGGTCGCCGTCCTGAACCAGCTTCACGCCAGTTCGCTGTTTGCCGCAGTCACGCTGCAGATGCCCACGCTCTCCGCACCGATAGCAGCGCGGCGCGCCGGCCCGCCATGGCCGCGCGCCGGCCTGCCGCGGCTGCCCGCTGTCCTGCCGTGGCTGCCCGCTGTCCTGCCGCGGCTGCGCACCGTCCTGCCGGGGCCGCGCGCCGGCCTGCCGCGACTGCGCGCTGGGACAGTGGCGCCGCCAGTGGCCCCGGCCGCCACAGCGGAAGCACGTGCCTGGCCCCGGGGGCTCGGTCGGCCTGACCCTCTCCGTCCGCTGCGGGCGTCGCACCAGGTGAACTGCCTCCCCGTCCGTCTCGGCCGGCGCCGGCGCCCCTGACAGCCGCGTCGTCAGATCCATCACGTCCCTGTGCGCCCGTGCCGTCCGCCGGACGTCCTCCAGAGAGAGGTCGTCACCCTTTAGCGCCGCCTCCCGGACCAGCTTCCTCTGTAGCTCACCGCGGCTGCCCAGGACGCATCGGTCTCTCAACTCACGGTCCACCTGCGCCGGCTCGTAGCCGCAGCGCAGGATTTGCGTCCGTAGTCTGCCCAGGAACTCCTCCAGACTCTCTTCCTGCTCCATTTTCATCCCTTGAAACTTTCCTCTTTCCGCCACCACATTATTCTTCGGCACCAGATACCGTGTTAGCTTCCTTTTCAGGCGAGCAAACTCGTCTTCTCCCTGTCTCTCGGCGTCCTCCTCAGGCAGTGAATCGCTGACATCGGCGAGGTCCGGGCCCACCAGGTGCAACAGGACTGCACACCGTCTCGCAGGCCCTTGAATGTCAACAGCGATCATATACCGCTCCAATGCCCGGAGCCACTTTTCAAAGTCCGTGCCTGGACGGTACGGCACCGCAGACACTATCTGCATCCCCGTTGGATCCATCGTGCCGCCGCCCTCTCACCAGCACGTCGTTTCTCCGGTCGGCTCGCCGCCGCTCCACCGTCGGCCCGCAGCCGCTCCACCGTCGGCCCGCGGCCGCTCCACCGTCGGCCCGCAGCCGCTCCACCGGCGGCCCGCAGCCGCTCCACCGGTCGGCCCGCAGCCGGGCGTCACCGCTCACACCGGCCGGTCACCGCTCACACCGGCCGGTCACCGCACTCGCCGGTCGGTCACCGCACACGCCGGTCGGCCACCGCTCACGCCGACCGGTCACCGCTCACCGCGCCGCCCTGCGCCTGTACTTGGCGCTGCAGCTGCGGTTTCCCGCGCTTTTCTCGACGGGGGCGTCACGTGGTAGTGACGTCACACGCACGTCACCGCGCGCGCATGCGCACTCGCCCCACACCGCCCGGCCGCGCGCCAGCTTCCCGCCGAAATTGCCCGCTTCGGGGACCAGGCGCCTCAAACCGCATTGAGGCCCTCTCCGCCGCACCGATCGGCCAATCACACGCGCTACCACAGCTGCGCGTCACCCCCGGCCGACCAATCAGCGTGCAGGACGCCGACGCATGCGCCACGCACACCACACTGCCGAGGCATCATGGCCGCCACGAATTTCGGCGATCACATGGGAAACCCTGCCAGGACAACGGCCGCCGCGCGACAGGCACACTACCAGCAGCAGCGCGAAAATAAAAATACTAAGCAATACTAAGCACTAAGCATTCGTACTAAGCAACGTTTGCGCCCTCACCGTCCGTGGCCTGTCCGCCCTCGCTGACCACCGCGCACTGATCACTGGCCCGTTTCGCCATCACTCGCAATCACAGCTCCAAGGCTTCACCTTGATCTCATCCTCGTCGCCAGGATGTTATAACGTGAGCTCTTTATTCACAACCAAAGCCGCATTGCGTTAAACTCCCTAGAGCGCCAAACACCGATCGCTACTACCACAACCGCGCTCCGCGCGGGCCGGCGGCCGACTGCTCTCGAACCCCGCGTCTGCGCGCCGGCGCCGCCAATGGCGTCGCCAGGCCCCCGGGCAGGGGGGAGCAACTGGCGTCGCCAGGCCCCGGGGCAGGGGGGGAGCAGCTCGCGACACCACAATATCCGAACATCGCAAACAACTGCCGAGTTTGACAATGATAGGGAGTCAGTGGCACAGTCAGCGCGTGAAATTGGGGTCGCGATAGCGGATCGGCATTTGGCGCGGGCGATCACTGCGACGGGGACGGTCGGGTTCAGTATCTCTCAGCGGCTGCGAGCCTGGCGCGGCAGGGGGCGGCATGGCCGGCGGCGACGGCGTGGCATGACCGGGCGACAACGCATGCGGGGACACGCGATGTGGTGGTGAAGTCGACATGGACGGTGACGGCGTCACACACTGTGGGGACACAAGGGGCGGCGACGCATCTCGCTCGCGCGGGGATAACACCACAGGCGGCGATGGCGCGGGTGGACGCGGTGTCGGGGGCCTGCCACGGGGCGCCCGCGGCGGCGTCGCCGGCATCTGGCCGACCACTGGAGTCGGAGAGCCGGGGGGTTGCGCCGCAGGTGGAGAAGTGGGTGGCGTCAGTCCAGAGTTCGCGTGCGACTGTGACACGCGTGTTGGATGTCGGCGGAAGTCGTCGAGCAGTTCGTCCATTCGGGTGTGCTGACGACGAGCCGGAACAACCGGAGTGTATTTGCGCAGGAACTGCCTGTTGCGCAATGTCATTCGGCCGCTGCCGTCGACCCGGACCATGTACTGGTTATGTTGTCGCACCTCCACGACGCGGCCAGTTTTGTCCCACTTCCTGGGATATCTTCCGATTTGGTTTTGGAGGCGGACGGCATCACCGACGGTCAGTGGAGGTAGTCGCCTCGTATGTGCGGACCAGCGTTCGTGGTCCCGCATGTGGCGGTTCCGGAGTGCCTCCTCACGAGCACTCAGGGTTTCGCGCCACGTGGGATGAGGACGGTACTGACCGGGGGGTATCGGGATGAAGTCTCGCACCGGACGACCGAACACGCATTGGGCCGGCGACAGCCCTGTCGTGGGGTCGGGAGTGTTGCGGTAGTTCAGCATGGCGCGCTGGAAGCGTCGCACGTTCAGTTCCCCGTTGTCACCTGTGTTGCCTTCGATCATGCGTTTGACGGTTTTGACGCCAACCTCAGCGCGACAGTTCGCGTGTGGGAATGCCACAGAGGAGCGGCGGTGACGAACACCGTAGTCGGCCAGAAACGCCTGTGTCTCGTGGGCAGTGAACTCCGGCCCGCCATCGCTCGTCAGCTCCTCAGCGATGCCAAATGTGCTGAAGACGCGGTAGAGACAGTCTCGGAGGCCTGCGCTGCCATCTTGTGCTCTCTCAACGATTGGCCAGTTAGAATAACGATCAACGATGACGAGGTACGTACGGCCGCAGTGTGTAAAGTAGTCCGCGCATAGTTGCTGGAACGGGTACTCTGGGTAACTGATGTCCTCAGGTGGGGCCCATGGCTGCGATGGGGCGTTCCGGTTGCACGTGTGGCATCGTTCACGGGCGCGCCGAATAGCTGACGTGATGCCGGGCCAGTACACGCTTACGGCCGCGCGCGCGAGCATCATGCCGATCCCTTGGTGCGCACCGTGGAGACTCTGGAGCACCTCCTCGCGGAGGCTGGGTGGGATGACGATTCGCTGATCATACAGGATGATGCCGTCGCTGGTGTATAGGCCATCACGGAGCGAATGATACTCTCGGAGCTCCTCAGGCATCTCGTGGCGGTGGGCTGGTAGCCCTCCCTCGATCAGTTCGAGAAGTCGCATCATCGACGGATCGCCTGCCGTTGCGTCCCTCACGCGGTCCCAGGTGACAGACCGGATCGTGGTGATGGCGGCTGCCGCTACCTCGCCAGCATCGTCGACGGTGACGTCGTCGGAGAGGCTTATGCCGATGGGAGCGCCGGTTGGGTACCGGGACGCGATGTCGGGAACGCGGTTCTTGACTCCGGGGAGATAGCTGATGTCGAATCTGAACCGGAGGGTCTTTTCCTTGAGATTACGGAGACGGGCGTTGGGCAGGTCGACCAGTGATCGGTCCCCGAAAATCTTCACGAGGGGTTTGTGGTCAACAACGACCGTGAGGTCGCTGCAGCCGAGCACGAAGAAGCGCGTTTTCTCGAGGGCGTCGGCCACTGCCAGCGCCTCGCCCTCGACCGGGGCGTACCGAGATTCAGCGCCGGATGTAAAGCGGCTTCCCACCAGCGTGGTCTTCCAGCCCTCAGCGCAGCAGAGTGGTGACCGACCGGCGCATGTGCAGTATTTCTGGAGTAACCAGAAACCGATACCAGTACGGGACCAGTCGGTGGCCAGGACGGTTGGGCGATCTGTCTCGAAGATCTGGACACCCTTCGTGACCTCCTCGACGATGGTCCGTTTCGACATGTCGAACAGTGCCTGGAGTTCATCCGTCCACGTGAACTTGCCGGGCTTCAGGAGTTCCCGGAACGGCAGCATGGCATCCGCCATGGCGAATGCGTAGGCGACGTGATTGACGACCCCGAACCACGCGCGGACGTCTGTCAGGTTCCTGGGAGTGGGGAACTCGGTGATGCTCTGAAGGAAGGCATGAGACGGGCGGACTGTGTCAGGCGTGATTTCAAACCCAGCGAATTCCGCTGTCTTCTGGGCGAAGACAAACTTCTCGCTGTTCAGCGTGATGCCGGAACGGCCACACATGTCCAGCCATTCCACAGTGCGCCAGAACACCTCCTCGATGCTGTCTCCCCAGAGAAGGGTGTCGTCGATGCATTTCGTGTAGCAGTCGTGTGACAGGTTTGCCGCCATCACGATCTCGTCATAGCGGCGCGTGTACCCGTCACCGCTGGAGATGTAGCCCTGGGGTGCCGCGCAGTAACGGTATCGGCCCCAAGGGGTCAGGAAAGTGGTGAGGTGTCGATCTTCCTCGTGTAGGGGCACCGAATGGTAGCCATTCCAGGCGTCCAGTATCGTCTTGTAGGTCGACCTCGGCACAGACCGGGCTTGGTGGAAGGGACTTGGGGTATGATGCGTCTCTCTTGCGGCGCAGCGGTTCAGGGGCTGAAGGTCGACGCAACGGCGAGGGCTTCCCGACTTCTTGGAGACGACGACCATCCGGTGGCACCAGGTCACCGGCTCACCAATCGGTACGGGCTCGATGACCCCCAGCTGCACGTCGCGATCCAGGGCGGCCTTGACCTCCGTCTGCCAGTGCAGTGGTACTGGGATAGCCTTGTGGTGGGCCACTGGCTCGGCGTCAGGTCTGAGCATGATGCGCAGGGGTGGACCGTCCATCGGCGTGAGTGGCTGATGTTCACAGGTGTTGAACGTGCTCGCAGAGTAATAGTCGGCCAGCCACTGACGCAGGGCGTCGACGTTGCTCTCCGTTGCCGGCATAGGTAGCTCTGTTGGCTTAGGCGGAGGCGTCTGACGGCGAGGACAGGAACATGCGTTGTACTCGTCGATGCCGATCCCATCCGCGGAGATAGACGCGAGCCCGACAGCGGGGAAAGCGGCGTCGATCATGCCGAGGTCACGACAGGCATCTCGACTGAGGTACATGGTGTCGCAGTTCGGCGTGATGTACACGAACTGTCGAGTCTCCCGCCGAATGCCGTCGCGGTGGCCGGATATACGTAGGATCAACGCTCCGCGGATGTCGATGGGATCGCCGTTTGCTGCGTGCATCCTCAGGGACGTCGGGACGAGGTCAGCCTCCGTGACGCCAAGGCGTCGCATGAGAGAGATGCCCGCCAGACAGCTCTGACAGCCTGTGTCGGCGATGACTTCCTGAGTGATGGTGGCCTGGCTGACCGTGCACTGGAGGCCCAGGGCGCCGTAATCGGCCGGTTGGAGCGAGAGGTCCAGTTTAATCGACGGCTGGGGCTGGCTGGGTTGCTGACACCAGCTCTGGGTGATGTCGTCGTACATGTGGTGCCGCATGGCTGCGGCGGTGCATGAAGCTACCGTGTCGTGCGTTGAGTCTCTGAGGCTACAGAGAGCGTCACTGGGAGCGTCATCATCGCCCTCCGGATGTGTAGTCGCGATACCGGCTGCCTGTCGCTGCAGGCAGGCCTCGGTGAAGTGGCCCCGGCGTCTGCAATGACGGCACTGGCTGCGGTAGGCGGGACAGGATTTAGCGCGAACCGCGACAGAGGCTTTTACGCCATGACCTGTCCGACGACAATATTGGCAGACGTCGGCCGGTCCTGCGACTGAACTCTGTTGACGGCCAGCATCGCCAGCTGATACTCGCCGCTCCTGCTCGCCGATGCTCGCTTTCGCTCGCCGGTACTGGCTGCGGGCGGCGGCCACACCTTGAGACTGACCCAGCGTCTGAGCGGATCGCTTACCAGCCTCTTTTGCTTCGACGAAACGAATGGTCTCTTCCAGGGGGATCGGTGTCTGGCCTTGGGCGAGGAGGTCCAGTTGAATATCCCTGTCCGCTAGCCCCCTGGCGAGCGTATCGCGTGTGACTTCATCCTGGTAGCTGACGACCCGTCCGCATTCGCAGGTGACGTGAAACTTACAGACAGCCGCCTGCCCGCGAAGACGAGCGGCGAACGCCCTGACCGGCTCTTCGTGCTCCTGCGTCATGTTGTGGAGCTGGACGCGAGCCACTGCGAGGTTTTCCTCGCGGACGGCGAGACTTCGCATTGCGGCCAAGACAGTCTGTTCGTCCTTGGATGAGAGGGAGCCCCCCGAGAATCTGGTGAGGTCCCTGCGGAGGCCTTCGTCGCAGCATTCAAGCAGCTGGATGACGCAGTCTGTATCGGTGAGTCCGGTGGCTTTCTTGTACTCCGTCCATCGGCTGGTGAAATACTCCCAGTCCTCGCTGGATCCGGCAGCTGTCACGCGCGGTCTGGTGACCTTTTCGGCAGTAATGCTCACTGTAGGCCGGGTATGGGCCTCGGACTGGTGCATTTGAAGAAGTTGTACGACCACGATAGGTGCGGTATCTGCAGCGACGACGTATTCACAGCCGCTGAATGGGCAGGCTGTTGCCATGGTTCGAGGCTCGGGTTTCGACGTTATGCTTGATTGCAAATTAAGATATGTCCAACATAGATAGGCATGCGCGCCATTTCGATATTCTGTATTCGGAATTCAGTGAATGTTGGACATATCTAGTCCTGCGGACGAGACAGAAACAATGTTACAGAGGGAAGGCACTGCATACATGTCTACAAGTCGCACCTGTTCTGACATAGCGAGGATCATTCGCTTAATTAAGAGTCGCATGCGATGTGCATAACAAGGACCAGACAGCCCAATGACAATCACATGCTTCGCATGTGGTCGTCCCAATCACATGGCGCGGTCCAGATGGCCTTGATCCAGAAGACACTGTGATTGTTTGAGCCTCGAATGAGGCCCTCAGTGACGATCCGACTGCGAAAGCTGCGTGTGTTGAACGAGGAGTGGTTGGCCGCTTGAGGTCATAAGTGAGCGACGACGCCGGTGGCCACGATTGTCGGAAACTCTGCCTTTAGTTTCACAAGAGCCACGGCTATGTATCACTGTCAGATTATGTAAATAAACGTTTGTTATTTGCGCCGCATTTGCAGTGGCATGACATTAATTTGTAGGAATCTTATTCCCAGGCGCTGATGGTAGGTAAAAGAATAAATTGCACTAGACCTACGGTAAACCTGTCAAAAAGTTAAGTTATTCATCGCCACTTAGCGCTCACCTACATCTATGTAGGTATATATTTATAGTTATATAGCTTTTATCCGCAAAAATGCATCACCTTTCATGCCTTGCTGCTTGTCTTCTCACTTTGAATATCAAGAAACTTCCCAAAAAGGGCTTCCTGCTCTATTCACTGCCTAAAAATGCTTATTGGTGTCATTTAATATCTGCACAAACCTTCAAGAACGTTCAAAAAGTTGAACACTGTTCAACTTTTTGGCGACCTCACCAACCAACCAACATGGGGAGCAAACTTTCAAAACCTTACAAATGCCTCCAACCGAAAACACGTGTCAAATACCCGGTTCCCACCACCACCGGCAGAGATCGTAAAAATGCATGATGTGATTTTGCCGATCTTGCCGGTTTTCTCCCGTTATTTTACTTTACGATGTTGAACGGTCGTAGTGGGAACGCGGCTTAACCCGCGCCCGGCTGGGGGTCCTGGATTTCCACGCCCTGCTGGGGGGGGGGGGTGTTTGAACACCCCCCCTTGTAACTCGGCTCCTGGGCCACGTAGCGATACGCGGAAGGCGGCGTTCGAAAGAGCGTCAAAAATAATGACGAAATCACTTCGGTCAATTTTTTGGTCAGGTCAAAGGTCAGGTCACCAGAGGTCATTGAAGGCAAAATTTCGCCGATTTTCAGGTCGAATGTCGAAAATTTCCAAGAAGCCAATGCATAACTCGAGAACCAATAGAGTTACAGCGCCGCGGAAAAGAGCATTCGATAGCCCTATTAAAGCCCTTTCTGATTAATTCTCTCAGATTTGACCTAACGTCAACGGTTTTGCCTGCAGGGGGCAAAAATTGCAAAAATAGCCGATTTTTTCGGAAACAGTTTTTCTGCAATAACTATTGACTCAAGCCTTGTACGAGCTTACTTTTACCGGCATTGTGTTCCTCTCGTCAAGACGCATCGAATGAACTATAAGTTGACCTTGAAAGGTCAACTTGAAAATTTGACCTCAGGTCAAGGTCATGACCTGACCGGAAAGGGTCATGTTGCATATCAGTCGATCCGTATCGTCAAGCTGAACACATCTAAGGCGTTTTCATCGCTCTAGCATGCCTCTATCAAAAGTTATTTGCGAAAAACTGTTAGATACCATTCGTGACCTAAGATGACCTCAGGGCATAAACAAGGGTCACTGACACCATTTTCATGTTCAGTGTGTCTGAACCACTTGTAATTCGGTGTTTGGGAGTGTTTATAATGTCTTTTGTCCAAAAGAGGCGCATTTCAATTTTCTCCCATTGACTTATAATGGGGAGGTCGCAAAATTGACCTGACCTTAGGTCATCGATATCAAAATTCTGAGATATACATTTTGTACATGCTATTGCTCTTAGCAATCGCTGAAAGTTTCAAAGCGATCGGTCACTCGGTGTAGCTATGACAGACATTGAAACTTTTTATGAGGTGATGTCACTTCAAGTGACCTGGTGACCTGACCTTGAATGACCTTGGTCTGAAATTTTCACAACATGTGTAGAATTGATGTACGATAAGGTGGCGCCGCCGTTTTTGAGATATTCGCGAAAAACCACAAGGGGGGTGTTCAAACACCCCCCCCCCCCCCAGCAGGGCGCGGGTATGCGATGGGTAGTCTTGGGATTCGAGACGAGAATCTTGGGAAATTCTGGTCGAGATCTTGGGATGGAGCAAAAATGTGGATGGCATCACTGTACCCTGAGCCAGAACAGCAACCGGCACAAAACAACACAAAAACAACGTGCGATTTTGTTTTCTTGCCGGCGGATGGTCATATCCCCCGATGGTATATTCGATGAGGGCTGTTTTGCTGTTTATTTTTTTAATTGTGATATCTATTCAATGCAAGGGAAACATTGTTTCCGAGCTTGCCCTTCCACCAGAGCATGTACCATTTTATGTTAATTCCCACCAGCGGTTCTCGGACGGTTGCAGGAGGAACAGTAGCTGCGAACTGAAGGTAAGCCAATTTATAATTTATTTTTCCTACCAAGATTCCGTTCTTACAGCTTTGGTACCTCATGATGCATTTTGCAGAAGATTTGTAGTGGTGGATCCAGAAATTAGTTGAAGTTGTGTGGGATGCATTGCATACCTACCTATCTACCTATCTACGTATCAATATTTAGGTATTCCCAGGGCCCTGTTTCACTGCACTGCATTACAGCATGCTGCGAATATCTGTGTATTAGGTTTCCATGGAAACATCAAACTGATGCTCGCAATGTGGGAGCATCTAGCTGCATTGGTCTCAAACACCACACTAATACAGCAAGCGCGCTGCAGCGTCTGGCCATGAAACAGGGCCCTGAACGGTGCTCACAACTTTTAAAACTCTTGTGCTTACTTTCCCTGCTGTGCAATTCAAAATAAACTTTTTATTTTTAAATTGTCTAGTTCTTGTCCTTAGAAGAAAATGGTGATATTTTGTCAGTTTCTGTTGCTTTGGGAGAGGCTAATTCTTTGGAAATGCCTCCTGCCCCCTCTGCTATTGGATTTGTGTTGTCATGAGTGGCTTTCTGTGTGCTTCATTGATATTGTAAGCATTGGCTCTGTTTCTGTGTACCTACCTATACACAGTCAGACTTATAATTCATTCTCTTTTGTATTGTATCTACTGTGAATGATAAAGCCTGTTTCATTTTCAGCCATATCTGGACCAAGGGTTATGCTGGGGATATGAAGAGAACTGTCCTATTTTTAAGTCCTACTTGGTTCCTGAGTGTGATGGCAAAAGTAAAGGATGGGCAGCCACAAAAACTAGTCAGTTGGAGATGTATTATGAACAAGCAGACTTTGGGTACATCAAAAGGAGGATGAAGACAATGTTCCCATTATGCTCCCCTATAGATAGTAGCTTGGTGAGTGTCCCATTTTCAATGGGCAGTTTTACCATTATTGTGTGATTATGATGATTTTGGAAACAGTTTTACCAATATGAAAAGTGTCAAGTCACCTGGTGCTGATTATTGATATCTGCATCTCTATGTTTAAGATAAACAAATAATTTTTATTTTTGTGAACACTCAAAATGCAGATTTGATGCTTAGGTGTATCATCTAGTTGATGTGGGATTTCATCAACAGGAAGCATCTGCTCTCAATTGCTCCTCAAAGATGGAGTTCTGCAGAGGCCGCAACATCAGACTCGACTTCCGAGAGCTGACAAAGCGGCGGGGCGAGCTGCTGCGGTACAAAATGGACGTGCTGAAGCCTGGCCAGATAGCTGGGCACTGCCGGTGAGTCCCACTCCACGAGTGGGAGCTTTGTCCCCACCACACACATGTTCTGGTAATGTCCAATTTGGTGCCTTCTTTATTAGGGGAATCCATAACTTCAGTTGACTTACTGGTGAAGCAAATCATTCTGATGAATGTTGTACGAGTGTATTAAAGTCTATTCCATTTAAATGTATATGATATCTATCTGACATATAAAATAGCATAAATGATGGTCTGTCAGCACCCAGCGATTGTGCATGCTCGCCCTCGCACCATGCTTACGATCGTCTCCACGAGTAGGGTCCACATTATGCCGTGACCGTTCCGCTCCCATACCCCGCAGCGTGGACCGTGACCGGCTGTCGTCCGAGCTGGAGTTCATGAGTGCGCTGCAGTCGTGGTCGCCCGAGATCCAGCACCTGACGCAGGCGGATAGACCGCTAACCGGTCGGCCAGAGTGCGACCGGGTCGTCACCACGCCCACCTACATCATGAAACTCGACGCCTGTGAGCCCTAGTAGCACACAACATTGATACAACATTGAGATATGTTGAAATCAGGTTGATTGTCAATATTGGTGCTTCAACACGAATTCAACATTGATTCAACGTTGATATCACGTTGATATTTGGTTGTGCTTTGTCGAATCTTGGTTGAAGTTCAACATTGTAGTTCAACATCGATACAACATTGTCCCAATGTTGAGTTCACAATATCGACAGAGGTAGAATTTCAACGTTGTAATTCAACATTGATACAACATTGGCACGATGTTGATTTCACAATATTGATAAAAGTAGAGTTCCAACATTGTGATTTAATTGCTATATTGCCCCGCAGTTGTGTTGACACTTGACAGCATCAAAGGGGGCAAATGCCCCCTCGGGTGTAAGGGGTCCCATGGACTGGCTCGACAGGTCCTAAGGCGTCTATCGGACTTAAAGGGTGGGATCACTGAGGTTCCAAATAGACGAATATGGTCGTATAGAAATAGTACCTATTGGTATCTTATATAGGCATATGCGTCTTGAATATGATATATAGAGAGTTATAAAGTGAATCGATCCTTAAATGAAGATAGCTCCACTTCATAAAATCCTTTTATAACATCCTCAACCTACGTTGAATTAAGCAGCATTATTGTATCGGCATTATTTTATTCGGGTGCCACTGCACCGGTGCCATTCAAGTATCACGGTAGTTAGTGCCTTGGTCCCCTCCCACCAGTCGTGCGCTGTGCTCTTTCAGAGACCGTACCGACTGGAATCTAGCGACCGCTGACCGTTTTGAAGACTGTACGCGGCCGGCAGCGGGCGGTCCCATCCTCGCCTCCGGCTAGAGAGGGGGAGACCGCGACAGGGGACCGCGCGTCCCCCGTCCCGTTGTGCCGGCTCGCAGAGTGCGGACGGGTGTGTTGAGTGTGTTGTGTCCAGTGTCGTCTGGCGTCTCCTCTTTCGATCCGACCATGTAGGTTTCCGCCAGTTTCTGCTGTGTGACAATCAGTGCATTTATCCAAGTTATTGCAGTGATAAGTTTAACCTTCGCCCCAGTGGGGGGGGGGGCATATGTTACCACCCTGTCGCGTTTTTTGCGTATAAATAAAAAACCGCGGCGCGTAGCGCCGCGCCGCTTGGCATAGCTTTTTGTTCATCAATTTTGGGTAATGTGTGAAGTTTTTGACCACAGGTCATGTCAGGTCAGGTCACCAGGTCAAGTTAACTGACCAAGCCTAAAAAAAGTTTGCAATCATATCCAGCCTGCAGTGTTTGTCAGAAAGGTTTGAAACTTGGTGGATTGCATGCTGTTATGGGCGCCTACAATTTGTATATCTCGGATTTTTTATATCCGTGACCTAAGGTCAGGTCAGTGGCGTGACCTTTCCATTACAGGTCAATGGAGAAAAATGAAAATGCCTCTAGATCCGTGTGTACGCATCGGAACAGTCCAAATATTTCAGAATCACAATGATTTAGTCCACTCGTGATGACCAAGGTGTCATTTTTGCTGATAGCCTCTAGACAGGTCATCTGAGGTCACTTGAGGCTACAAACAGTTTTTTGCCAATAACTCGCGATTGGAAAGAGATAGAACGCTGGGGATGGTCTCATTGTGTTTGTCTTGTTGAGACGCATCGAATGATATGCAACATGACCTTTGCCGGTAAGGTCATGACCTTGACCTGAGGTCAAATTTTCAAGTTGACCTTTCGAGGTCAAATTATAGTTCATTCGACGCGTCTCGGCTAGGGGAACACGATTCTGGCAATAGAAATGTCGTAGCTTTTTGTAGTCGAAAGTTATTGTCGAAAAACACTTTTCGTAAAAACAGCTATTTTTGGAGTTTTTGCCCTCTGCAGGCTAAACCGTTGACCTGAGGTCAATATTGATAATGACCTTTTCAAAAGAAGAGTTCAAAAGCTATCGTTTGCACTTCCATCCGTTTTTCTAGCTACCATAGTTCCTGAGATAGCGGCATGTTTTCTGAGAAATATAATGACAATTGGCAAATTTTGACCTTTGGTGACCTCTGGTGACCCCAATATTGCTCTAAGGTGAAAAATGACCGAAATACTTTCAAACGTACGCATTGAGAGCTATCGACTGCTTTTTACCGCGTCTTTCTAGCCCTCTTAATTTTTGAGTTAGAGGTGGGTGGTAACATATGCCCCCCCTCACTAGGGCGAAGTTGGCTGAGACCGCCACTGGGGCGCGGGTTAAAAAACTCACGCTGAAACGTTCTCTTCAAAATGGTGGCGATCACCGTCGTCACTCACTTGCCTGCGGCAAAGAGAAAAAGTGCTGCCGGTGGCGTCATGTAGCGTCATGACTTGAAACAGGGCCCGGTAAGTACATATAAAAGAATAGATTCATGGTAGTAAGACGTATAGGTACATGCGTGATGCTAAATGCACTTACATAAATATCTATTATCTTTGCTGAAAATGACTGAACTGAATTTACTCAAAGGCCCAATTTATTACCGTTGTTACATAGGAATCTCCGCTTTGTTACAGAAGTGCGAGGCTCGACAGGCGACTCAACCCCCACGGCCCTACTCAACCGCTCAAGATGTGAAGCTGGCGGAGACTGAGCGGCGGCCGAGGTTGTGTGACGTGATATGTGAAGTGTAACTGACTCGAAAAAAGTGAAGAGCTGTGCATATATCATGGAAATACATTTTGCCCCGAACATTGACTGTGACGGTGACGCTGGAATATTTTAGGTAATTACGGGATCCTAAGGGATTTCGTACACGTATAGGTCTGTCCACAACAACATCGAGACAATGTTGTATCAACATCGAGACAATGTTGAATCAACCAAGAATCAGCATCGAGACAATGTTGTATCAACATCGAGACAATGTTGAATCAACCAAAAATCAACATCGAGACAATGTTGTATCAACATCGAAACAATGTTGTACAATGTTGTCCTGTCAATATTGATACGATGTCGAAATTCAACATCGTATCAATGTCGAAAGTGGCTAACAGAATTACATCGATACAACATTGTTGTCAATATTGATACAACATCGATACAATATTGATGTGCTACTAGGGAGTCGAGTAGCAATAAGTAATGTCCTTTTTGGACGCTATTTGAGTTTTTATCGTCGAAATGCGGTAGGTATATGAGTTGCGACGCCAGAACTTGTGACCAATGCTATCAAGCTATTATAAGAACTCTCTGCCCTGCTAACTTTTATTTGAAGCACGGACCTCTACATACCTCTGGAGACTTTGGCATATGAAGGGATGCATACTTGTAGAACACGTCTTATCGTTGTTCGCTGACCGCTTTATGCCGTATTTGCGACTCGTAGCTCCCTCATTGACTGCAAGTCTTTTCGTCGACCACAGCGGTCAGCATGTACCACCACTTCTGCGACTTTTTCAACCTGTACGCCAGTCAGCACCTGAACGACTCGATGGACGGCGACCACCCGGGCTCGTTCCACCGCGACAAGCAGATCCTCATCTGGGAGAATGTGCCCTACCGGTCCGCCTTCGCGCCCATGTTCCAGGTGGGCTGGTCTTGGTGGGGGTGGATGTTTTTCGTGCAGTCTGATTTTAACCTGGGCAGGCGTTAGAGTGTGTGGTGTTTATGAAATGTTGTTGGCTAATTTACTTAAAGGTAGTGTGCCAGCTTTCTTGGACCGTATGGAGTTAATGGCCCAGATAAGGAGAACCGGATTTTTAGAACTTATCCATACCTTCAAAACTCATGGAAACGTCTTAAATTCTTCAAATTTTGAGTACCCCAGTGCGAAATTCGCCCCGACGGGTTGTCGGTCGTACCCCAACCACATTTCACACCACTATGAACAATAAATGCACACACTGAAATCGCTATTACCGATATGCTCATCCAATCAAGTTTCGATAAACCCGTTCATCATCATCTCCTGCGGTTTCGAACACGCCTGTTAGGTGGCTTCTGATGCTCGTCGAGGTCGGAATTTCCAAATACGCGTGGTGCGTCGGGCCGCGCGCTCTGACTTCGGCCAAGAAAAATGCGTCAGCTGATCATTGTCATTTCTGCCACTTGCGTGTGGTGAAATGGGGTCATAACTTATAAGACGGCTTTTTCATATCAATTATTTTACATAAAATCATATTTCAAACCATAAATAATGTTCGACAGCCAAATAAAAGAAACAATACAATACGGGCTTACAGTTTAAGGCTCGACATTGTGTTGTATACGATTAGACAGCTGATAACTCATTCCCGTACGTCGTATGGTCGTAACACTATAATGACCTTTGCTTATTGTCACAAGTGCACCGCATTCGCGATTGTTGCCCGACGCCTGTTTGCAGGTGAGCCCACTACAGTTGTTATACATATCTAAAAACCGAAAAACTTTTAGGCGAAAAAGGCACTATTCCAGGCCCATTTTTGATTTTTTTGCGATATTAGGTAAAAACAGAAGCTTCTTATCCTAGGAAAAATAAAATGGGAAATCTTTCAAAGGTGGCACACTACCTTTAAAAATCTGACAACTCCGAAACTGATCGTGAAGTAGATGAATTATTCACTTGTAGGCGTTCGTCGACTTGCGTAAATAAAAGCATATCTGTGTTAAAAGTACGCAAATCGGCAAGCCCACTGTGTCCGGTATTTTCGTTTACATTCCTTTTAAAAAAAGTTTATTTAAAGCATGGCTTTAGTGCACTCATACTAATGGACGTTTCTTGTTCCACAGGTGTTCTCCAGCCGTCCCATTTGGTCTCTGAATGACGTCATTGGCCAGCGGGTCTGCTTTAGGGACGTGGTGTTCCCACTGCCGCCCAGGATGATATTCGGGCTGTTCTACAACACACCGCTGGTGAGGCGCCGTGTGGTGCCAGTGTCCAGTCACGGTCCAACCTACGTAGCACGTAGCCGTGTGTGCCGCGTGCTTAAGGTCGCAACTAACACTGACTGCTGCGACGTTCAATGCCGTGTGTGACGTCCAGTGAGGCCATGTCTGTTGTTTGTGACACCTATTTTACTGACACCTCGTGTGTCGGCACTGAACTGTCTGCGTAATGGCCTGTCTTATGCCCCGATTATTTAATTATTTTTATTTTATTTTATTAATTTATTCCAATCATTTGATTTAATTTACCTGTAGTGCCGATAAGCGATGCAGCCTTGACGCTCCTAACACCAATGAATCATAATCATGATTAACTTCCTGAGTAATTTCCTCCCCTCCAGGTTCCTGGCTGCCGCCAGAGCGGTCTGTTCCACGCCTTCCAGCGGCACGTCCTGCACCGGCTGGGTCTGCCGCTGCGGCGAACCGTCCCCGACGACACGGTGCGCGTGGTATGGATCTCGCGCCAGTCGCGACACAGGCGGGTGCTGAACGAGGCGCGTATCCTGAAGGCGCTCAGAAAACAGCAGGGGGTCGAGGTGGTCAAGGTGGGTCACAGAGGGGACAAGAGGAGACGTGGGGTGGTCAGCGTGGAATGTGAAATGCTCTGGGGATGGTTTCTTGCAAGTTGTTGCTGGGTTGGGCTGGGTTGCGATTTCTCGTCTCTTGATGGCAGATTATTTCCCGTAGGATAGTTTATTTCCCCCGACTCCGGTAATGGTGCGTTTTCTCGCCGGGCCGACTTTCTACCCTCTCCTTGCTGTCGCCCTCTTCGGTCCTTGCTGACGCTCTACCCCCCCCCCCCCCTTACTGACGCTCTACCCCCCCCCTTACTGACGCTCTACCCCCCCCCCCCCTTACTGACGCTCTACCCCCCCTTACTGACGCTCTACCCCCCCCCCCCTACTGACGCTCTACCCCCCCCCCCCTACTGACGCTCTACTCCCCCTTACTGACGCTCTACCCTCCCCGTGCTGACTACCCCTCCGTGCTGAGTCCTCATCTCCGTGCTGACTCTCCCATCTCCATGCTGACTCTCCCCTCTCCGTGTTCCAGGCGGCGTTCACGCACGCCACCCCGTTCGTGGACCAGGTGCGGCTGGTGTCCGGCTCAGACGTATTAGTCGGTCTGCACGGCGCCGGCCTCACCCACATGCTCCTGCTGCCCGACTGGGGTGCCGTGTTTGAGCTCTACCACTGCCAGGACCCCGACTGCTACAGCGACCTGGCGCGGCTCCGAGGGCTGTCCTACACGACCTGGGAGAAACCCGAGCTCATCACCCCGCAGAACCAGGTTCGTACGCCTTAGAAACTTTTAAATAATGTTTCATTAATTCCCTTGGTTTGTCAACTAGTCACCCAGCCAACCTTATGTGGTACGGCTCTCTTATTGACAGTAACTCTGTCGTTAGTCTGCACTGGTACTCATCTGACCCTGATCTGTGATGCTTCTGTCGGTGAGTGAGCCGGTTGATCGTCAAACGCTGACACCTTTGTCTTCCCCAGGGCGAGCACCCGGAGCTGGGCGCCCACGAGAAGTTTACCAACTACACTCTGGACGTGGCAGAGACAGTACGCCTGGTACTTCACTCGGTGGCGCAGGTCCGCGCCCACCCCCGGTACAGAAGTGCCAGGCAGGCCCACGAGGCGCTCCAGCGGCCAGCCAGGGACGAGCTGTGATTGGTCAGTGACGTCAGCCGAGCGCGCTGTGATTGGTCAGACGTACAGTGACGTCAGAAACCCGTTGTGATTGGCCAGGAGAGTTAAGGGGTGCAGTTACTGTTGCTGTTACTAGTCCTGAGTCAGTGGTGCAGGAACCAACCCCGCGTTCGATGTCTCTCGGACGACGAAGATTCTACGTCGTCCGGCCAATCGCGTTCAAGGTCAGCGGGGGCTCGGCTGCGGTTATGGAACTTGATTGGCCGGACGGCGTAGAATCTTCGCCGTCCGAGAGACATCGAACGCGGGGCAAGTCTTCCCGGTGATCCCCGTGCCTTTTTAATCGGGCCGTGATAAGTGAATCTCACGCGGCGTTGAGTGACGCCTCCACGGGTCCCTTACTGGCGCTCTTTCGGCTGTCCATTTGCGGGTACCTACAATGAGAGGGCTGTCTTGTTGGCCGTTTGTTCTTCGGTCTTTGGTATAACACATTCCTGGTTCTCTTCGTCGTGCGTTGTTAGTGCCTAGTGGTCTCATAACTGTTACTCATTATGCTCACCTTGCTCAGTGCTCATTCATATTTACATCTCGTTTAGTTGTTTGTTGTCGAAACATTACCTGTTTGTAGCAATAATCAACCGTTGCGCATTTGTCGCCCTACTGTCGTTACATTGCATATGATATCAGAGTTCTCTGTGGACACGTTCGGGCTATAAATTACACCGGTGCAGCAGGCGCTGGCCGTGGGGCCCCGCTTTCAGTCCGGTGCCTAAGCTTTCGCTGTAATTTAGAGTACAGTGCCTTACCATTCGAGCTAACTTTTTAACCAATAACCGTAACATTTTCCGAACATGCGCGAAGTACGGCAGGATATGACAGTGAATTCATATTCTCGGCTCTAAATTTCAATGTATGCCGAGGTTATATCCGGAATGTCCACCATACCAATGTCTCGAGCAGTGTCACAATACATGTTTTGTAATTTGCCTTATTTTGTTAAAGCAGTTTAGCATAAACATGGTTTAAGATCGACCTTTGACATCAATTATCGGTAATGCTTCAGTGCCAGCAAATGTTTCACATACGTCATTTATTTCACGTTTATATATAATAAGTGAACCATTCTAGAACAACATCAAATCAACGGATAACTATAACAGCCTGCGACACGATACGACGGTACACACGTCCTGTACCGCCTATAGCACCATATGACGGCGACCTGACTCCGCCGGCGGCTGTCACCGGGACCGCAGCCGCTCGGCCAGCCGGCGGGCGTGGGCGACAATTTTCCCGGTGAGCAGCTCGTCCTCCTGCAGTCGGCTGAGCACGTCCTCCACAGAGGCCAGGTCCTCGGTCCGCTCTACCGGGCAGAGAGCGGAGGAAACACGTCAGAGGGACCACGAAACGAGGCCAATTACACTGACAAAACACGTTCCGTCGAGACGGAACAGCAATTAAATGTCCACAGCCATTAACCATTCCTGTTAGCAAGACTACAACTTAATATCGTCGGTAAGACAACGAATACGTCGTCAGAGGGCATCATCAACAAAAGCGCGGATGGCACAGTCTAGTCGGACCACAAATACTTATCGTCAGGAAAGCCGCACATGCGTCGCGATGGCTATTTTCCAAGGCATATTCCCGCGAGGACTGAAATGTACGATTGCCATTATCACTCAACACCCAGCACAGCCTACCAGTTCAGCCAATCAGTTCCAACACAACCATCTCAGTCGTCCCACCACAGCCGTCCCACCATCCCACCACACAGTCGTCCCATCGCCCCACCAACCCACCACCCACCATAAGCATTGAGCAGGGCCCAGTAGACTGCCTGGCGTGCCTCCTTGTGTGGCACCGCCTGCAGCAGCGTGACCAGCGCGTCCGAGTCGCCGGCGCGCGCCAGCCGACTGCAGTGCCGCTTCAGCCGGTCACCCGAGAAGTGCGCGCTCCGGCCCAGTGTCTGCAGGGGCAGGGGGAGGTAGAGAGTGAGGGGTCAACGGTGATAGGACTGACACGATACACTGAGACGGCTGTCACCCTGGTCCGGGGGCCAGCTGCACTCGAACAACAGCTAGTCCTAGTTTAGCTGCCAAGCTGCTCATAGCTTGTGTATTTCACGTCTCTGCAGCAGCCATGATCGTAATTAACAACGCTGTTCGGTATGTAAATAATAAACGAGAGCCCCTGGAATGAAGATCACTCATATTGGAACAGCGAGCTACCCTCTCGCGGGAGCACATATGATTTATGTGCCGTCGTCAGTTATTGTTCTACCGTCTACGCTCGACGGCATTGATTGTCGCGACCCACGGACCTTTGATTCCGTGTGGCTTGAGTTGAGCGTCACCCCCTCGCCCTTACCTGCATAACGCGTCGCGCCTGGACCACGTGACCTGCCTCGGCGAGCGCCAGCGCCAGCTCATACTGGGCGGCGTCGGCGCCGTGCAGCTTGGCCAGCTGAGGGCGTACAGCGGTGGAGGGGGTCAGGTCAGAGTCAGAGACAACTGGTACTGGGCGGCGTGCAGCTTCGCCAGCTGTGGAAAACAGCGGAGAAGGCCAGGCGTCGGCACGGCGGAGGATCGGTCAGGTCCTGCCATGGCGGGGAACAGGTCAGGGCCTGTGATCACAGGATCTGAACTGGTCAGTCTCACGTGTCACAACTGCGCTCCCAATCCCCGCCCCGACCAACACCATCACCCTTTCCGTCAGTGACGGCGCCCCTGCTCTACCAGTTCACTCCCACAGTTGGAGCTCTCACTCCCACTTCTCCCTTACAGTCTCAGACCTCTGTGCCCCTCCCTGCCGCCAGTCCCAGTGCCCACCTGTTGCGCCACGTCGTCCAGCAGTTGGTGCCGCCGGTCCGAGTTTTCCAGCCGGGCCACCTCCACCATCAGACCGTGCGAGTAGGCGGCCAGCCGGTGGTCGCGGGCACACCGACAAAACTGCTCCACCGCACCCGCCACGTCGCCGCTGCGGGCGGGCACGGGCCGGTCCGTCAGTTCAGTTAGCGCCTTCTGATGTAAAACGCAGCTATTGAGAGGCCTCGGCTAAGGTAAATGCAAGCTATATTTCTGACAAATCGCATACAAACAAAAGTACAAAGTACATAGCACGGTCTGCCCACGAAGAAACAAGGCGTATCTATTACAATTGAAAAAGCATGATCGAACTAATATGGCTACGAATATAGCTCGAGCGCTCTAGCCCCACGGCGTGCAATAAAAAGCGTAGGTAACGTCAATTGTTTATCAATTGTTTGTCAATTGTAGGTAACGCACGATTGTTTATCAAACGTCCAAGACGTCAACCAGCCGGCCATACCATTTGCACAGCGGTCTTTCCCCAGACCTCACGCCCATTTCATCGTCATCCTGCTCTCCCGGCACCTCGGTTTCCCCACCACTCATCTAACATTCATAGCATTCGTCTAACATTCCAATTTGATTACACACTTTGACCACTGTGTCTTGAATACGAATGCGGTTTCTAAATGTAATCTGCAGCCTTCTCACTTCCATTTTCTCTCCTCTGGGGCACGCGATCTTCTCTGCGCCAAACTCGTTATCAACCGGCACTATCCCGTGTCAAGCGCTGGTATAAATCTGCACACAGTCCTGGAACCTCCTCCAGTAGCCAGATGTGTCCGCCGTCAGAGAGCAGTCGGGCGCGCCGTACCGATGAATCCGTGCAAAGTCGGCACAGGTCAGTCGGTCGTCCCCGTCACAGTCGCGGGCGTTACGCTCCATGTACTTCCTGATGGTCAGCGCAGCACAGAACGGGTCCCCGGCGCACGACTCATGCGTTTCATCGCTGAAATCCGGCTCGTCGCCTATCCTGGCGTCCTCAAAATAGGGGAGCGTGATGCCAAACGGGCCGAGGGCGCCACTCGCGTTCAGGCCGGGCGACAGGTTACACCCGCTGGTGGCGACACAAATACAGCCGATACACTCGGGGGTCACATCCACGGCCGCTGCCGGGAGCACGGCGAGAACGGCTAGCACGGTGCGGTACGGCTCCATCGCCGCGTCCACACTCACTCTGCAGCCGGGCACAGGGTCGGGGGAGCTCGGGGCGGCCGCTATCGGCACCGCTTCCTTCCGCGGCGCCGCCGGATGGTGAGTAATGTGAACGCACAGACGCAGACGAGTCACCGGCGGCGGCCGGCGTCGAACGGACAGCGAGCCACGGGAACCACAGTTGAACAGACGCGCGGCAATCGGACCCTAACGCGGTTAGGATACGGAGTAGCAATCGCAGTTACACCAGCCGCGCTTGTATGTGTTGGTGAATGACGCATCTTTGACAGGCGGAAGTCAGTGCAAGAGCCCTCTTTATCAACCATCCCTGCACCAATGACCCAAACATCTCACCTGAGTATCACCCGGGGGCTCCCCGTGATAACCAACTGACCTCAGCTCAGCACCGCCCCGAGGGCGCCGGGCGCCGGGCACTCACCTGACGAGGTGCGCCCGGACCATCTGTCCCCGGTGGTGAGCGGTGGGCGCCACCACACCCCTGGTCTCCAGCAGACGCAGCAGTCGGCCGGTGAGCTCCGGATCGCCCCAGTCGGCGGCGGCCGCTAGCAAGCGCCAGCAGCCCATCGACAGCCGAGACCGGTCGTCCTCCGGTTCCAGGCGCTCCAGCAGAGACACCGCGTCTGCAACATGGAACGGCGAGGGGGAGACGTTAGTCAGAGGCGGAGACGGGGAGTGACGCAAGATAGGAGACGAGGTGACGTCAGACAGGGATGTCAGACTAGGGATAAGTGGCGGAAAGTAGGGGAGAGTGGGGTAATTTGGCCGGTGGTGTAAATTGGCCGCCCCCACCTGTACGAAAGCTGATAAAAGTGAATGAAATAACTTAAGTCTCTATTCCTTTGTCATCGGCAGAACTAACTCGAGAACAAATGTCAAAACTTTCCCCCTCTTAGTTTTATTCAAAATTAATAAAAGGTGAATTACGTTAGAAAATGGTAACTTTTACTTCCGTTTAAAAATTTGTATAACATGTAGTATTTGGGCTGTAAACGAATTAAAACATTATAGCGCTATTTTTGAGGGTGTTCAGCGGTTCCAAGAGCAATTTCATCTAGTTCTGTAAAGCCATGACGACTTCATAGACAAAATTTTTCAGAATGGCAATGTGGGGTTATTTGGCCGGGACTAGCGGGGCAACTTGGCCGGTGCGCTCAGAGTCACTATGCTGGGACGGCCGAGTTGTCGTGGTCAATTATACCATAAAAGACATAATTCATGACCAACTTTGACTACCTTGATGCCATATTTCCTATTGGACAGCTGTAAGGGCATGTGACGTCATCAAAGGTTACCTAACGCTTTTTTGCTAATAAATACTTACCGAAAAAAGATACAGCCGCGCAAATGGTCTCATTGTGTTCAGCTCGTCAAGGCGCATCGAATGATATACATGATGACCTTGAACTCACGTAACCTTGAGATCAAGCGACCTGAGGTAACATGACCTGAAGCCAACCTTGACCTTGACCTTGACCTCTCGAGGTCAACACATACATGTTTCGATGCGGAATGACGAGAGAATTACGATGGTGTTTTTAGTTTTGGCCTAACTTGATTACTTCAAAAGTTATTCGTAAAAAAACTGTCATCGCATCTAGAGCCGCTAATTTTGACTTTTCGACCCCTGTGACGGCTGAGTCAACCTCCAAAATGCTTCAAATGCGTCGTAGGACACGCATCATTGCTGAATGTGAAGCTGACTCGCCTATAACAAAAATCATGGCCTCAAACTAACACCGGCCAAATTGTCCCACACCCCCGGCCAAATAACCCTGCTAGTGGGGCAATTTGGCCGCTTTGCAGACCCTCGTAATACGCCACAATTTCAATATAAGTAGTTACTCAATCATTTCAAGTTTACTGTCCAAGAAAGTAAAATGTATGCCACACCTGTCAGCGTTGAGAAAATGCAGAAATGTGTTGTCGATTTTTAGTTACATCGTTTTCTAAAAAAAAGCGGCCAAATTACCCCACTCTCCCCTAAAGGAAATGTGACTTCAGACGGGAATGGCGGTGATCTCGAACAGAGGACGAAAGCTGACGATATGGGAGTGACCTAAATGGAAAAACAGCACCGCACATACCAACTCGACAAGACACTGAACTCTGAGGTTGCAGGAGAGAAGACGTACCCCGTCATGTCAGAACCGCACAGCATACCACAGGGTGAATAACTATTTGGGCAGAAACTACAAACATACATTGCACCATCGTCGGGCTGGAGGAGGCAGGACGCACGCCAGTCAAAATGAAAACACAAACACAAACGAGACACGCCTTCGCCACTTCTCCCTTCCAAATCCCTTTGCATCTCTCCCTATCACCGCAACACTTCTCTTTTCGTCTCATTCAAGCCCCCGCCACCCGACCACCGCGCCCCTCTATCTCCCATCCTCTCTCACCGTCCGAGTGGCCGCGGCGCATCAGCAGCGCGGCCAGGTCGAGACGTTTGAACTGGTCCAGGAACCGGCCGGCGCCGGGACTCCGCTCCAGGCGGCGCTGGTAGTCCAGCGCCCCCTCCAGCCGGCCGTGGTGGACGTGAACGGCCAGCAGGGCGGATAGCACGCCCGGGGTGAGCGGCTCACCATCCGCGGCCGGCCCACTGACCCGGGACAGTTCCTACCGGGCGGAGGGGAGGTGAGAGGGGCGCCGTCCGCGCCCGGCTCACTGACACGGGACAGCTCCTAGCGGGCGGAGGGGAGGGTCAAAGGGGCGCCGTCCGCGCCCGGCTCACTGACCCGGGAGAGTTCCTACCGGGCGGAGGGGAGGGTCAAACGGCTCACCGTCCGCGCCCGGCTCACTGACACGGGAGAGTTCCTACCCGGGCGGAGGAGAGGGTCAGAGGGGCGGGAGCAGAGGCTCGCGGTCCGCGGCCGGCTCACTGACCCGGGAGAGTTCCTGACGGCGGAGGGGAGGGTCAGAGCAGCGGGTTAGACGGTAGGCTGAGAGGGGGTTGGAGAAATAGGGATAGAGGGCGCGCAGATAACATAGTTGAGCAGAATATCAGGTTCACTGGCAAAGCTCACCGGTGAAAACCACAGGGCGAGATCACCAGGTCAGGAGTCTTACCTCTTCCAGCTCAACGGCTCGCTCTAGGTTGTGTTTTCGGCAGTGCATAAGGATGAGTTTCCTGAGTATCCCTCGCGTGTTTCCGCCCTTCTTGGTGAGCTCCACCAGGTGGTCCTCCAGGTCGTCCACAGAGGCGTCCTGTGGCTGAGGCAAACCATAAACGGTGTCACCGACAGTACGAGCTATAGTAAAGTCATGTCTAAATGGGTACAAGAATGATTTGGTAGCCCACTTTGGTAGCAATAACAACTGGAAAATACACAAATCGAGCCCATCTGGCAATGAATCTAACGCTGACATCACCAAATGCTGACCCAGTCGCTTCATAGACGTTCCACTAGTCGCCCCCTGTCAATGTCGGGAGTGGAGTGTCACCATCCGCGGTCTCACCAGTCCGGCGCCGGCGTCGGTGTTCTCCCAGGGCTGGGAGCTGACGGCTGCGTCAGCCAGCCGCTGTAGCGCCGACTGGAGGTCCGCCAGCTCGGCCGGCGGCAGCCGCTCACACGCCAGCTCGGCGGCTGCTGGGGACATTCGCAGCCCGGCCGGACCCGCCGCCTGTGTCGGACGGAGGGGACAGTCAGTGTCAGAGGCGCAGCCGCTAGGCGCCTGTGTCGATCAAGGGGTGTCATGGACGGGAATGTCAAAGACTTCATGAACAAGTCCAAGAACGAATTATGTGTCATATTACCATATTATCATGTAGTGGACGGGAATGTCAAAGACGTCTTCATGAACAAGTCCAAGAACGAATTATGTGTCATATTACCCTGACAATGGAATGACGCATTAAGTCAGGAAGTGACGAGCACTGCTATCAAACAGGTGGCTTAGAGCAAAGATGTGCTAAAATATTTTTAGAATGTTCACAATATGCTACAAAACATCAGTGCAAGAGCATACGGCAATGTCAGCTAAGACAAAGACACCGCTTCATTCAGACTCAGCTAAACCCGCTGTTGTCTGCCAGCCCGTCCATCCCTTCTCGTTCGCTCCTACCTGCACTAGCTGCCGCAGCAGGGCGGCCTGTCGGGGGGAGCGCGCCGCCGTCTGGCTCAGCTCCACAAATACCGCCCCCACCGGGTCCTCGTGGGCGGCCCGCCGGTCCAGGGCGCAGCGCAGCAGGCGGGCACAGGCGTCGGCGGGCACCGCGGGCCCGGCCGGCTGCTGCGCGGAGTAGAGTATGGCCGGTATCAGCACTGCTACAGAGACTGAGGAGGCGTACCGCTCACCTGGAGAGAGCGGGGAGTGGAAGGTTATGTTAGCAGAGGGGAGGGTTTGGTCAGTTAGAGGAGGGCCATTGCGGCGAATCCGGTAAGTTAGGGGACGGGTACGGTCAGTCATTGGGGTCCCATCAGTCATGGGGCGGGACCTGCCTGTCCCAGTCAGTCGGGTTCGGGGTTAGGGTGCTCCTTGTCTCGTCGTCAGTCGGGTCACTCAGATGAAACGTTTGATGAATACAGACTACACAAAGTCTCCACGAACTGACCGAAATGGCGATAACGCGTGACGACTGTGGTGACTGTGCCGGGCACAGTATGCCCTAACCAGGACCCAGTATGCCCATTACCCAGCACCCCTACCACTCACAGGCAGCAGCCGCCTTGTGCCAGTGTCCGCTGGCCAACAGACGGGCCACCAGCGCGTCAGCCGCCGCCGCCGCCGTCAGCCCGGCCTCCTTCAGGTGCTGTACCACCCGCTCGGGCGGCGGCCACGCGTCCCGTTCGTAAACGGGGAGGGCGTACTCTCGGAGCGTCTCCAGGCCGGGCGGCGCGCCCGCGGACACCATCTCGGACAGGGTGTCACGCACACCTGGCGGCGGACGGCGGCGCAGGAGTTACATACGAGTCGGAACGGTACGGTAACATGAGAGAAACACAAGGCAAATGCAACTTCGCTGTGAAGGGGTTTCGCAAACGTGCCTCTCTGACGAGATGAGAGAAGGTATTGCAGATACACGCTATCAGCTCCAGCAAAAATGTTAAGCTATTCCGTGAAAGTTTCTCCCAACCACACCACTCATACCCCCCC